GTTAAAAAAAATAAAAAAAAACGATAATATCGTCTGGTAGGTACTTTATTTAGGTCACTCTGGAGCTGCACAATAGGCTATTGGCGACGGTCTGGGAAACAGCCCTGAGGATGATCTTCTGCAGAGGGAATCTCCTTTGTGAGGCCACTTCCTGAATTTAGACATAGACCTGAAGGGGAAGGAAATTTATTTATATTAACTGCGTCATTTCGGAATCCATTCTTTACATAGTTGTTCATTTACTTTAGGGAACACGCTGAAAATTATATTTTTTCCTTTTGTTTTTCTATCAGATTTTTTGCAAGTTGCAATCGCGCAAACTGAACTGGCATTTCGTTAATAGTTTTAAAATTTTGTAAATTCACGGCAAAAACTGAGGAAAGTCATTATAGAAAATAACAAATGTCTTAGAATATGTCACAAAAAGAAATGCTCCAATATTAGTTAGAGCTAGTAAGGCCGAACGCTCTGTTCTTGAAGTAAAAGTGCGAGCTTTGCGCCAAAGTGACGTCACTAGAGAAAATAGGAGGATTGGCGCGGCGAGAGTTTCTTCAAGGGAGTGAACCAGCCCTTCTATTTCTCTTTAGCCCTGCTACCACGGCCCTAGTATCGTCTGAGCGATTAAATATGTGCGACTAGTAATCTGAATGACAATCACGGAAATCAGTCGCTTCTATGGATGGTGTTTTCTACACTAGGGAACGCTGCAAGCTCGGGACTGCCTAAATTTCCGGGTTACTGTTTCAGTTGTATTTCAAAGCCATTTGGCATCATTGTGTTTTGAGATTCTTGCAAGCAATGAATTTGATTACTTATTACTTATGTTTACAATGCTAACAATACTTGTGTTTACAATACTAAAAGTGTTAACACTAACGTAAGATGGTGCACAGATTGCAATACGAACAAACAGTAATAAACAAATGGAAAGAGGCCAAATCAAGACTGCCAAAAAAGCGTGTTATTCAAAATCTAGCAACCATGTCACCCTTTTTAATAATAAATAACAAAATAACTAAAACAAATTTTTACTCCAAACTCCCCAGAATTACATAATAACATTAATACCTTATGAAATACGGCAGATTTGAGCTCAGAAATTATCTAATTTACTTCTTTTATTGAAAACAAAATTATCCGTTTGAAAGCATCGCCTATCAGAATAACATGTAGTAAGCAGCTGCAAACTTTTTAACCGGAACTAGAGTAGGTGCCGAGCTCAAGATTGTTATTGTTTACATTTCTATTGAAAACACCATCCATTCTGAAAAGCACATAGGTCACTTATTAAAAAATTTATATTCAAGGAAAATGATTTTTATAAGACTTAATTTAAAACCATGTCATCATGGTGATGAGATGGGGCTGAATGCTTGAATTAGCCATTACTGTTATGTCAGTACAAGGAATATGCCAACATGAGAGAAATGCGTATTTCGAAACAAATTTCTCAAGATAATGTAATCTGAAATTTAAAAAATTAATAATAAATGTTGAAAAAAATGGGGAAAATCAAACTCACGTTACAAGGTTTTACTTTCTTCATCGAATACAAAAGTCTAGATAAAAATCTACTCATAATTTATGCAGGTATAATTATACCAGAAAAAAAAATTTTTTTCTTAGACTTAAAACTATGTTTATCCGAAGGAAAAAGAAGTGTGTAAAAAATTATTTTTGATTTTCAATTTCAATAAAACTCGAATCATTTTTTTTTTTTTTAGTGCAAAAATAATACGAAATAATATTGACTACATTCTCCTTAATGTTTTTAAGGCAATATGTTCGAAGAGATACTTTGGATGAAGAAAAACAAACACCATCTTCAGAATTTCAACAGAAAACTGTTTTCGAAACTACAGTTTTTGATTAAAAACTGTCTTTTATTAAGGCTCCTGTCAAAAAATTGATTATAATTGAAGGATCAGGATACATTAAAAAAAAAGTTAATAACTGATCATAACAAGTTAAGTTAATGTCATGCTACCAAATTTTTTCTCATGTTGTGATTGGCTTCAAAAGTTAAAGATAGGAAAAGCACACTTTTCAGATATTTTTTTATTCAGTTATACATCGTATTATTATGCATTTGCGTTTTTGATAATTCACAATCTTTAAAATATAGCCCTAATTGTCTAGGAATATATTGAAAAGTGTTGGTCCTATTAAATAATACATAATTATTGACAAATATTTAGTCAACAATAATGGTTCATTTCCTTTATTTTTTAAACTTTCTAATGTGAAAAGCTCCCTAAAGAAGTGTGCTGAAAAAATTATTTAAAAAAGCCAAGACCCACCCTAGACTTTTTTTTGCCACCAATTATAGAGAATGTTAGAATTATAGATTAGAGAATGTTATAAATTCAATTGGCGACTATGATTAAAATGAGAATATTTTAAAGAAAGAAAAAAGCTTTTAAAACTGAAAAAAAAAAATTTGCAGAACAAGTTTGCACATGACTTAGCTTAAATTGTAACAATAAAATAAATTAATTAACAACAGTCAAATATTAAACTTTTCAGAGACCATGAGTACTTAAAATAAAATAATAATAAAGAGAGAGATGAGATTTTTGTATGAAAATGCAAAAATTACATTCTTTAAAAGGGTAATTAAACATGTTACTACTAATTTAAAACTAAAATAACACTTTTCCCTAGACCAAATACAATGCCCTTCAAACAAAAAATTTAAAATTTTGTAAATTCACGGCAANACTAGAACAGTTTTGTCACAAAAGTACGGTAGTTTTATTTCTGTAAAATGACTTTTCAAGCATTCTTTTAAAGAGTTGAAATTTTTAATTATGGTTAATTTTAATTAACAAATTATTTACATTTTTGTAAACATAATTGCGTGGTCTATTTGCTTATTCTAAGAAAGCTTCTTATGCAAGGCTTAAACTTAATTTTTTTTTTTTTAAATTAATTACATTTTTTCCTGACACTGTTTTTAACATTTTATTTAGATTTGAGCTAGCTATTGTCAGAATTTTTTTAGGGGAAAAAGAAAGAATGTAACATTTGTACAAATTAAATTAAATATTAATATTTCTTTTAATTTTTTCAAACATAGCTTTTCGTTTGAACAAATTTGTATACATTTATATAAATTTGTTATTTGAACAAATTATATATTAGTTAAATTAATTACTTAGTGACATGCTCAGTTTTAACAAAAATATATAAATCTGATAAAATTTTACTAGTTATATAACATCTAGTTTATCAGTCAACAATGTTGAGTTTTTAAACAATAGGCTTTTTTTTATATCGCAATGTGAAAAAAGGTATGAATGTACCAACATACACCAGCAAAACAACATCGTTGAACTCAAATAATGGCAAGATTGTATTCGAATTAAAATATAAAATAAATTGTAAATTATAATATATTGAAACAATTGTATATTTAAATATGTTTATAAATTTATAATATGTTTATACATTTATAATACATTGAAAAATCAAATACTATCAGTCTTCAAATTTAATAGGTAATAAAATTCATCATAGAATTACTAGCAAAGTCTAAGTTTTTAAAAAATTATAAATGAAATCCTAATAGTAACATTATGTTCATGATGATCAAACAAAAATACTCATAACTCAAAAATTAAACTAAAAAAGAGTTTTTGTTTATTTACTTACTTGTATTTCTGATATTAGAATCATACTAAGTCATTAGCCTATGAAAAATACAACAGCATTACACTAAAAATTATATAATGTGTTTGCCAGTTTATAATACTTAAAAACATCAGTTGAGCAGACATCCTTAGAACAGAGAAAATTGTCCACTTTTTTGAGGTGCCAGTCGAAGAGTAAGGCAGGCCATTTAAGAAAACTAATGCTGTAAATTATTTTAACTAAATTAATATAATAGTTAAATAAATACATAATTAGAAATAAGGTATAAAATTACATTTATTTAAACTTTTTTACAACCGTATTAATTAAAATTAAATTGTTATAAATACATTTATTTATACTTAATTATCACTTTAATACTGATTAAAACTTTATTATGATCGCAATATGAGATTCCAAAAAAAAAGGATATATCTGAAATTAAACCTCAAGAGATTATGATCAGAAGTGAAATTTTTATAATGTTCAGAAATAGAAACAATAAAATTAAACATTTTTTTCTTTTCAACCAGAGTTCAATGAAAGTGATATAACTCAAAGCATGTTTTTTTAATCAAAGAATAATCTGTCAAATATTGTTGGAAATTCTAGAATGAATCAATGAATGGTTCTGAATTCAATTCAGAAGCAATAAAGAACTTCCTTAAAGTATGAAGTCACAATGACTGTGGTAATACATACTGTAAAGCATCTATCCCTATTGAGTACTTGAAAAACTGTAACTGTTGTAATGCACACACAAAAAAAAAGAGCTCACAACAATTCAATAAAATTAGTTTCAAAATTTTCCACTCACAAAAATTTTTGTCTTTTTCTTAACTCCGTTATTTATTTATTTTTTTCATTCTTATAGTTTGTGTCAAAAATGACAAATATAAAATAACTTAATGACAAATAACAAAATAAAAATATCACCAATTTTAAAATCAGCAAATTTTCTAAAATTCGATTCACTTAAAAAAAATTTGTGCGGTACTCCTGTAAAAATGGTCATTACTGCTTTGTTTTCAATTTCATCAATATCATAAAATAAAAAACAATGTTTATAAAATTTCAGTACTAAACAAGAATTAAAGAAAAAAATCGTTATTCCCGTTTTTTTTAAAAAAAATAAAATTTTTTTCAACCACTGTGGAACTTTTTAAAGAGTTCTAGGAATAGGAGGCTCTGGACAAATGCTCATGAAGGCTCAACTTCCAAACATATTAATTTAAGTCAGTTCCAAAGTTAAAAAAAAAAAAAAAATAGGAATATGATGTATAAAACCATAAAAATAAATTATATTAAAAGAGTACTATTTAGAATTCAATAAAAATGGCTCAGATGAAATCAGTACTATACAACAATAACAAGGATGAAATTTCTTTATTAGAAGAGCACATAATGAAACATAGAAGTGTGAGTCTTGAAGGATGATTATAATGATGGCTTATTGAGATGAATACATGTTACAAAAAATATTTTACATTATTCACTTTTTCCACCTGAATGTGCCATCAAAGCAGAAAAAGTAGGTCCAACATCAATGATTTCTTTCTTTTCTGGAACCCTTGAATCTGTTTGATGTCGTAATGTTTGAAGTTCAAATTCACAATTGGCAAGAGCAAGTTTAAGTTCATACAAAAGAACCATATCACTGCGTAGCTCATTGAAGTGCTGGCATATTTCTTCAGTAGGAATAGGATTCGGTTCTACCAAAAATCATAAAAAATTATATGAATATGATAACTGTCTAAAAGTAATTAGAAATTTTTAAAAAAGATTTCACTCTCAAATATTGATATCAGGGGATTGCAAAAGTTTGTGCCTGATTAAAAACCAAATGATACATAACATATTTTCATTAAAAAATATAATATTTACTCATGAACATCCACTAATTCTCTATTATTGTCTCTCACACATTTTTGAACAGCGGTAGAAGCACTAAAATTTAATTATGAAGCATTAGGGTTCTATTAAAGAACCATTTAAATTCATATTTTTGGCATCAGCTTGTTGGGAAAGTAAATGAGGTCTATGAGCAATAACCTCTCTGGCCCGCAACAGATTGTTGCAGGAATGCTTTTATACATTTTTTAATTCATTTTGGAACAGAAATAGCAAAATTTTTAATTTAAGGAAAGCTATAAGAACACAGTTTCTTTCTTTTTTTCCCTAATTAAACTATAATAGTAATTACCAGTTAGATGGTTCCATTATTGGGGAAAAAATGACTCTGCAAGGCTAGATTTACCTACATTACAACTCTATGGTGAAAACTAAAAAAAGAAGATTAAAAACAGATTTTGAATTTACCCTCTTCGTCCACTCTCCTTTGATGATCGAGTTTTGTTAAGAGGAAAAAGGTTTCTCATAAGCCATGTAGTGAAAAACAAGTGACTAAATATAGACATTTCACTTAGATTCAAATACAACTAATTTCAATCAGCTATTCACAATTATTTCTTGAACAAATTACTCGAAAATTTTATTGAACACATACAGCAAAACCTTTTTATACATTTTATATAAAGCATGAACTTTTAGAATCATCTGACATCTCATACTTAAATATACGAGAGTTTAACTACTAAAATCAGTAAAGTAAAAATTTAAAAAAAAAACTATTTTGCATAGCTTTATTGCATGTAAAATTTTATACAGTAAACATTTGAATTTAAAAAGACTTCCTTCATAGTTTGCTTAAAGGGAAGATATTTTAATATGCCAGTAACATTTTTCAAATTAGAAGTCCTTAAGAATTATTAAATTTTGTTTGATGGAAGTTAAGCAGAACCAGAGTAACCGACACCTAATCCTAAAAAAAATTTAATGAGACAACATTTTGATAAAGTTGCTCAAATCTTTATTAAAACACTTTTTCAATTTATACTGAATAGGTTTTCCATTCCCAATTATCGAAAATAATATTGAATGTGTATAGCTAGTAAATTTGTATACGAGCCAGTAGATTTTATTTAAAAAATTTTTACTGTATGATGCAGAGTTAGGAAATCAAGAAATTTTACATTATTATATAATGTTAAAAAGTCACAAAATAACTATTTAATCAAACAATTTATATGGAACAACTTTGTGATATAGTACTGAAAAAAAGAAAATATTTTCAACACTTCATCTTCGTTATTTGGTAAGTGCTTTTATTGTGTCATATTTGTTTGTTGTCCCCAAACAAATCTAATGTAATAAGAATTCAATTTTAATAAATTCACTCAGATTTTAATATTTATACATTTGGAAAGTACACCTAAGAAAGATTTCCCAAAATTTCTGAATCATGAGATAAATGTTTATTATTGAAAATTATGTTAACTTAAAAAACAGTAACATATGAAAATAATTTTATAATATCAATTCTGTGTTGTGATGAATATTGTGTTGTGTTGTACTTTAAAATCGCTGTAAAGTTTCAAAAATAAAGAAAACAATACAAAATAGAATCTATACTAAACTTCTAAATATTTGTCAAATGAATCAAAACAGTTTAATTAAAGAACAAACATTTTCAATGTCAAAATTATCAATTACTTATTAATTGGTAATAAATACCTAACAAATTTAATATGCAAACAAAAAAAAATCTAGATAAATTTCATATATGGGTCATTCTCACAAAAAGGTGATTTTTTAAGTCCCTTAGTAATAAATATTAGGAAATACAGCAGATTTCTTAATATTTTTCTTCATCATTTTTCATACTAACAAATCATATGCATTTCTGCTAAATGTATTTAATATTTCATTCTTATTTTTTAATAAACATGACTTCAAAATCCCTTCCGTGGACGTCCCTACGTCTGAGACACAAAATAATTTTTAATGGCTGTTAAACTATTTAAATGTTATTTTAATGATTTTTGTAGTTTTACCTAGTTAAATGTTTATAGTAACTTTTTATTTAATATTTTTTTAAAAAAAATTTATTTTTATAAAATAAATGACTAGTAAACTTTGTCCATCAAAAATGAAATCTCCCTCCATGGACAATTAATATAGTTCGGTAAATATGCAATAAAGGGCAGCATATGCGAAATCCCTATAAGACAGCTGCTGGGAAAGGTAACCATTCCATTTTCTAATGTTAACTATCAGTTGTTTTTGTTCTCTTTGGTGTCAGTTTTGGATTGTTGTGTTCAACTGGGGTTTGGCAAAGTTCTCACCGTATACTCTGTGGACATCATAAAGAAGGTAAGAGAAAATTATTTTATTTTTGATAGATGAATTTTAGATTGCAAAAATAGTATATTTAATAAAAAGAACTGCACCATTTTTGTAACTTTAAAATCTAAAATCAGTAAAATTCAAGAACTAGTTTTTGATCCTCCGTGGACATAACAAGTCCACGGAGGAGAAGACACAGTCAATGGAAGAGACAATGTGTTAGATAACCATAATACAATTTTAATAATTAAAAAACTATTTTCTTTTAATTTAATTTTTTTTAAATGGAACAAATGTGTTAATTTGTTTGTATTTTTAAAGAAAATCAACTAAGTTTAACTTTTTCTTATCGGAAAAATAAATATTGGCAATTTTTCTAAATAATTTCTGTGATGTTTAACATTTTTTTTCTCTTCAAATTTTAGGAAAAAAATGGCAAAACCAAAATGAAAAAAAAAAGCAATCAAATGTTCAAATGCAAAAGAGAAGGGAACAGAAAAAACTTGATATGAGACAAGCTAGACAGAAATTAAAAGAAAACCCTATATTGCTTGAAAAGAGTTTAAAAAAAAAAAGAGCAAGAAATTTTAAAGTCTGTATCAGAAAAAGATTTAACAGAAAAATTGTGATTAAATATACTTAAATTTCTAGAAATTGATAGAGCAAGCCGTTTGTACCCAGGGGAAAAAAAACAATAACAAGAAGAAAAGAGAAAAAACAAAAACGTTATTTGGATGACAGTATGTTTAACTTACATAAAATGTTCACAAAAGAGTACCCTCAACACTCAACTTTCATGTGGAATCTGAATTTTTATTTCAATAGTCTTCGCATTTTAATTTATTAATATTCAGTAAGAGTTACTTAAAAAATTGTACACCTAGCTTAAAAATGGATTTTTCCTTTAATAGCAGCATGATTAATCGGAAGTAGCTCTATCTCTAATAATGAAATATTTTATTATTTATTTATTAATGTTAAACTCATATCAGTTGTACCCATTAATTAATGAATTAGTCTTCATTGATATTTCATATTTTATAACATAAAATGTATCCTCCTTTGACTATTACATCTCCTCCGTGGACGAGGCAGAATTTAAAATATTTTAAATCTGGTAAAAATAAAATAGAAAACTTGACCATTATTATAAGGACATATAACAAAAATAAATACAGGCATTTATGTCATTTTAATCACTTTTTTAATTACTTTAATTTAAGAAAAATTTTTAGTCTATTTATACCTTTTTAGTGAGAATGACCCATAAATGAATAAAAAGTCCAAACACTATTGATTCATTAGTAAATATAAATTACAAATTATAATTAAAATTCATTAAATCTCACCAATATCCAATTCCTTTAAGAGCTGCTCAATAGCCTTGGCCTTCTTTTGCCCAACTGAAGCAGGTAATTTCATCTAAACACAAAAAAAAAAAGTAAAATTATAAAAAATGCATTTTCCTAACCGATTCCCATCTTAATCATATGAATAATTAGAAATTTTTTAAAACATTATGTTCAAACAAATACATATTTTTTTTCATTTTTATTTAAATGGTAGTTTTTTCGTAAAAATTGATTAATTGTTATGACAAATACATAGGGGTGGAAAACTAAGCAATCGGCTAAATATATTTATATGATTTAAATATGCTTTTTCATTTATTTAAATACTTCATATAATTTAAAGCAGTAGAAAACTGTTCACTCTATAAATACTGAAATGTCAAGTCTCTTTTATTGCAAGTTTAAAACTATTGCAAATGTTAAGTTTTTTTTTAAAATTTATTTACATATTTATTATTTTTTTTGTCAATATATTTCCTTGTATGTGTCCCAATATTTTGAAAAGATCTACCTTTAAATCATGCATATTTTTAAATTATATTCATGTAAGTTGACAAATTTTAAAATAATTTAAATTATGTAAATAAGTGCTCTTTAAAAATAAATATCCATCTAATCATGAAACAAAAATGTAGCTATTACATGATAAAATATGTGTTAAAAAATATTTTTTTGAAATATTGATTGAAAAATATTGATCATACTGATAGCTGTTCAGGATGGAGAGGGGGAAGTTGAAGTTCTGAGACTCCAAAGCACCATATGTAAATAATGTTAAACTTTGTAAACCTTAATTATGCTTTTTTTCAGGTCTACTAAACCCTTAAAAAGCCCTAAGCCTTTAAGATAAATATCAGTATAACAACTTAACAAAAATAAAAATAGCAATTTAATAATTAAAATACGAAGAATAGAGATTATATTTCATAAAAATTACCCTTTGGCTTCTAAGTGTTACTCCACTGCCTTTGAAATCGGCAAATTTAATGCCCGCTGAATCCACACTCTAAAAAAGTAAAATTACATTTGTAAAACAGAATCTTTAGATTACATTTTACTAAAACCTTTTAGAATATAATTAGATAACAAAATAATTCTTAAAACTGCACTTTTATACAATTTCATGCATTGCAAACATTTCTTTGACTATAACAAAATTGATATGAAAAAAAAAATCTTCTAAATTTTCAAGCACAACTACAAATGCATTTATTTAACGAATATTGAAAAAAAATTTTGTCGAAATGTTAAATTGTAACAATGCATAAGAATTGAAAATTGATTGGTTATGAGTAAAGTATTTTTATGCTTAATTATTCAGACATTATAAAACTGAAATTAATGAAACATGACTTTTCATCTATAAAACCTTTTTGTTTAATTTACGTTTTCAGCACATCTTAAGATTTAAGAAAGCAACATTCAATATTTTGTGATAAAAAGGTAAAACAGAAAATACATTTTTAAATATACTTGTTCATTAGGTATATTGGTGTAACAAAATTGTTACAAGATGGTAATAGAAAGTCATCCAAAATTTATAAATACGATAAATGTAGATCTATTCTCAAAGGTGATATATGATTTTAAAAAGAATATAATAAATAAATAAAAAATAGCTTAATATTTTTCCTTTTATTAACAAAATTAGGTAGATCATTTACAAGTAAAAATATTGTTTTTACTAATAACCTAATTCTTATTTCCTATAGAATAAATAAAAAGTAAGTTTCTTTACTAATAATGACATCGATTTTTTTTTAAAATCAAATTCTTGTTCTGATAAAGACTTGAGAAGAGTTTTTTAACTGTTGACCAATTAGAGATAAAACCTATGTGTTAAGTACTTGCTTATAATACTTTTTTAAACAGTCAACTACATAATAATAGTAGCCATTCATTGAAGAAACTGTCCTTAGCAAGGAAATTTTTGTACAGATCTTAACAAATATTCTAGCAATTAAACTTTTTTGCTTCAAAGTATTTTTAGCAAAGAAAACGTTAAATCTACAAAAAAGTTATTAAGCAGCCAAATTAAATAGTGAAGTAAAACATTTAATACTTAAATATGCAATTTTTGAAGAAAAAAAATTTCACTTAAAATTATTCATAACTACATTTATAACTGTTATGATTAATATTGTATAATCTAATAGAAATATTTTTGACAATTTAAATAAAATAGAACAATTTTAATGAAATTCAGAATACAACACTCTGACATGGGCAGCATATCAACTTTGTTACTACATTCTGGAATCATAATTTATGGAACAGACGTAATGATAAATGTTTTTTTTTATTATTATTATTCTTTAACTGGTTCTTTAACTCATTAGTTAACCTTTTCTCACAGGGCTTTGACAACAGTTGTCATGTCAATAGTTTGGGTCTTCTGAGGGACTTGTGACACTTCTAACCCAAGAATGGGGAAGAAATCATCTTCACAGTCAAAAGAGAGGATACAGTTACAGAGGGGAGAGCTTTGTTTTATGTGCTATGGGAGGTCTCACCTTCCTTAAGATAAGGAGGGAAAAGTTTTACATTACTCACCTACTTTTAAACATCCAAAGTTTCGTTCCGTTTATGTTTTTCATTTTTTTTGTCTTCTATTTTTGCTAATTCTTCGTATAGTTAAATATTTTAAATTTATTTTTTAAAGATTCAGCTTCTTTATTATGGTTTAATTATAATGCAAAGCATTTCCCAAAGTAAATTATTTTAAATTGAAATGGATCTCAAAAAAAAAACTGTTTTAAATAAATGAAATCAATAAATATTAGTCATAGAATTTGATTTTTTTTCTTTTTATAAAAAAGTACATTATTTTAAATAAATACATCATATATTGCCATGAAAAATTGATTTTATATCTAGATATATATATTTGATACTCAAGAGCTATAACATCATACATAGTTCAACATTTAATTGCATTTAAACATTTGAATTATCGCATATTTCTAAAATATACATTCCTAATTCTAATATATTTTCTATGCTTTTATTATTGAAATTATGCTATTTAATTTCATTTAGTAAGTAATTTATTTTACTTTTACACTTAAACATGATTTTTGGAGGCTTTTTTAGTATTATTTTTTCTCATGCAATAGTATAGTTTGACTCTGAGTTACAGTTTCTATAGTTTTATAAATAATGTCTCGTTGGAATATAAGATTAAGAACTTGAAAACTTAGAACTCTATTACATGAATAACTCTATTGCGTGAACATTATTAAACTGTTTATTTTATTACTGCTTTTACCCTGAAAAAAATGTGCTTTTTAGTTGTTTTCCGTAAAAAAAAATTCGCTTATTTTGCGCTTCATTTTCATTTTTAGCAGAAAACATGAAATATAAAACTAAAATGAGGGAAAAAATTCAATTCACTGTAATTTTCTATAATTAATAATGAGCTAACACTTTGTCTTTTCTTGTATCAGTGACAACTTAAACCCCTTCTGTTATAGCTTTGACTGAATTTGAAACAATAACAAGCTACATTTTAGAAAATTTTAAATTCCTTTTAAATTAAAAAAGTGGTTAAAAGACTTCATGTAAAATAATTTTGATAGATTTTAAATGTAAATTACTTAAGAAATTTTCTAAAATTAAAAATACTTTTATTGGAATGTATCATAGTTATTAAAGAGAGTAATAATTATAATTATTAAGAACCAAATATTATTCTTTAAATTATGATTTTATAATCAAAATTTTGCTTTTGTTGAAATAGTAAATATAACAGCATAAAAGAAAAAGCTATTTTTTATCAGGTACTTATTCATTTTAGTGTTTTTTGTAAATATATTTATGAACCATAAAAAATTATTTTTAATTTGAATCCTGTGTTGCTAAACTTGAAAACAACAAAAAAGAAAAAATGCCTTGTAAATGAACACAGAAACATGTATAAATTGTTATAACACAAAACAGGCAGATCTTTTAAAGAGTTGGTATGTGGAATGTTGTTTTTTTTCCCTTTTTTTTAATGCTCAATCTAATGTAACAAACGAAGGAGATTTTCTGCTCTTTTGGAGTTAAGCAAAAGCGTGGGAAACCTCCTCTGGTTGCAATCCTAAAATCCCTAACCATGGTGGCCTAAGTTAGAAAACGAAGTTAAGAACACACAGTGGGAGAATATAATTGTTTAATACTCATCATCTATTTTATTTTAACGATCATCAGTTCCCTATCATACCTCACTCCCCCAGAGGCAAAAAGAGACCTTCGGGAGATCTCCATGACTTTTCGAGCCCACGTGAAAAGTTTAACATTAAAAGCATTTCTGTGCAATGCTTTTCCAGAATTTTTGTCAAGAACTGCACTTTTAATGTCTGGCACTGCTTCAAATTCTCTAAATTTGCTTGCTAATTTAACCACAAAAATATGAGTTTAGAACATTCAAAGGAAAAAGAATAAACCTCAGTAAGTTTTAAAACTAAACGAAATAAAATTTGATTTTGATATTTTAATTTCAAAACCTTTAAATAATGTGAAAATGCTTTTGTTTTTACTTACAACACTCTCAGCTTTTATATTCTTTTGCTGTACCACTTTCTTTTTAGGTCCTTTCTTTTCAAGGCGTTTAGTTTCACCCTGGCTAGAATCTGCAGCAGTTATTAATTTCTGTAAATCTTGAGTCTTCTTTTCCCTCTCTTTTTTACGTAGTTCAATCTTCCGCAGTTCATTCAACAATGTTTGTTCCTCTTCAACCTAAAAAAAAAAATACAGATTTTTCTTTTAAAAATAAAACCAAAAAATTGGCAAAGTTATAACTTTTTAACAATTAACAAGACTTAGTTAATTTTATATATAAAGACAGCGTTAGCATGATGAAAACAAATAATATTTTAAAAAAGTTTAAATGAAATGATTATCCTCCACTATGATTAAATTTAAACCGTCATGTAAAAAAAAAAAAAAGCTTGAATTAAGGATATATTGGGTCACTGTTAATCAGGGTTGGAGTTTTTGCCGGCAAAAAGGGGTTTTTGCCAGGACAGTGGCAAAAACCTGGTAAAAACCGGCAAAAACTGGTAAAAACCGGCAAAAACCAAATTATCTAAATTGCTGATTAAATATTATTACAAAATACTTGAAACAAATTTAAATCAATCATAAGGAATAATAATTTTGATACATTACATGAAAAAATTATTTTTAACATATTAATAATTAATATAAGGGTAATAATTTTTAAAAGATTGAAAGTTTTTGATCTCTTTTCATTTTAGAATCCTAAAATAAATGTTTTTTTACAAATAAATAAATATTATTATTTGTATAATATTATTATTTATTATAAAAAATTATTATTTGTACAATAATTAACTACACATGTTGATAGATATTTTATGCTTTAAATTATAGTTATATTAATTTAAAATAAGTTCATTTCACTGGAAAAAAGAGAATAATCACAAATTTTCCAATCAATAATGTTTTAAACTACTAAAATGATATATTATTACATTATCATTTAATTATGGAATAATAATTTTGTTAATTTTTTTGTAATTATTTATATTCATAGTATATATTTCAATTTTAGGAATAATTTTGTATCAAAAATGTGTTTTTGTCCTCTCATCTTGGAAAATATAGGTTTTTGCCACTTTTTGCCAATTTGCTTGGCAAAAACCTGTTTTTGCCAGGACGGTTTTTACCGGTATTTACCATGGTTTTTTCCACCTGTGGCAAAATCTTGCCAACCCTGCTGTTAATAAAAGAATTTATTTCAAACCACCATTTATTATGAGTTTGCGAAAATTGCAAGAGTATACTTGTTTAATTTGACTGCATTTAAGTTAACATCAGTTTTTGTAAATACTTTTAAAATCCATCTAAATCTATAACAAATAATCTTTTTCAATTTAAGTTTTTTTTTTAAATATAAGTCAATAAATACAAGAAAATATAAGAATTAACAGAATGAAATACTATAAGAAAATTAATAAATTGAAGTTGATGTCTGCACTTTAACCCTCTAAGATCAGCCCTTAGGCGAAATTGTACGAAAATCTCCCTGTAATACTTTTCTTTCCCTTTCCATAAAACTAATGGAGAAAATAGGAATTACAATATGTCCTTACAGTAAAGACTGCAACTGAAAGTTAGAACAAAGCTTTGACTAAAGCTCAGAGTATTAAGCAGCTCTTACAAAACAGATACATTTTTAATCTTTTGGAAATTTTATTTATTAAAAATCAAAGTTCATACAATTTTGCTTTTAGATCAACTTTCTCTATTGATATCAACCTTTTTTTTTTAAATGAGGTTTATCACAAACGGGTTGGTCGCTATGGCCTCCGGCCCCGAGCCAACCAACCAAAATCACCATAGTGATATTTTTCCTTCACTTGTTGCTGAGGGTGGCAACGGATGACTGAGATGGGGCCATGTGTTTTAAAATGTAACCAAGTAGTGTGTGTTTAAAAGGGAGATTAAAAAAACTATCTCCTACAATTGTACCATGAATAAATTTTGTTTTAACATTTTTAATAAAGTCCTATAACTGAAGCTTTTAAAAGTGTTATAGGTTTTCAGTATTTCTGAGAAAAAAAATTTATTTTAATATCTCATATTATTTATTTTTAACATACTTAGAATTTTTCCCAGTAGACTAAAAACTTAAATAACAGTTCAACTTCAGAAAATAAAAAATTAACTTCAAGAATTATCACACATTGATCTTAATGTAATGCGCTACCTCATACACAATTAGATTTACAGGAAAAATCTAACATTAGTTTTTTTTTAAAGAATTATCTAAGTTTCGATTCATTGTAACTACCATACCATACTTTTAGTAAATAATAACTTAAATGTTAATCGATTAAATCAAGTTAACAATTAAGAATACATTTTTACAAAGTCAACCACTGAAATGTCGGAACGAATTCAAAACTACTGTCAATTATTAAATGTGTGATCTACTAACTAACCCTCACTTAAATTTGTAACTTTTTTTTAGTACAAAATGGTTAACGAAAAAACACCTAAAGAAAATGGTTGAACAAAACACGTTTTATCCAGATAATCAACTTGAAAATTGGTAATGGTCCCTCCATCTTATTTTAATTTGCAAATATATTATCGATAAACATATAAAATAAAAACAAATGTTATTCAAATCATTTTTTAATTGTTATTGTTTAAATTTGAAATTACTTTATTCAATTGAATTTTACAGTTTAAAGATTAAGCTTTATTTAATTTAAAAATATCTGCATGTAAAATAAAGTTATTGTCCTTTTTTCTCTCTCCTTTTTTTGGAAGAGAAGGAGAGTAACTTTGCTGCCCTAAATAGATGTCAATAAACTTAAACAAAAACAAATCAAATAGAATAATTGATCAATAATATATATATATATATATATATATATATAAAAATATAGTAAAAACAAACCTGTTCAGTGGTTCTGTTATACAATTTCGTCAATTGTTCTTTCCTTTTTCTTTCATGTTCCGCATCATATGCTACAAGTTTTGGTTCTACATTTCCTACTGTCCTGATCTAAAGCAAAAGTTTAAAAAAAATTGAGAAAAAAACTTTTTAGACAATGCTTTTGCAGAACATTTAGTTACAGATATGCTTGTTACCTTACTTTTTACACAACTATCAGTAAAAAAAATTCCTACAAAAGATTTTTTTCTTTATAATTGAGTTCAACATTATAAGCATTTATGTTTATGACATTAAATCAAATCCACTTCAATATTGAAATGAAATACTGTAATAAAAAAAAGTTTGCTGTTTTCTTCAATTCAGAAAAACTCAGTAAACTTCTTCGACTCAGGAACTTGTAAATCAAAACTTTAATAAATGGTAAGTCGGGACAAATTTTTAAAAATAAAAGTAAAGCTACAAACTTTAAATTCAATATCATAAATATATTTAAATTCACGTTGTTTGCTTTCAAACAAAAAAGAATATTGACAAATTTTTAGGCACAGTGGTAAAATACTAAGTTAAAATAAAGGTTTTCTGCCATTCTGATAAAAACTGTCTAAAAATGTTCCAAACCCTTTGTTAAACTGTCCAAAACTTTTTATCCATAGCTATTTTTAAACATTATTAAAAGCGAAAGAAATTAGCTATCAATTATAACACTAAATTAACAACATATCCATGTGTCTAAAATATATTTAGCAATAAACAATATAGTCTAAAATAGTTTATTAGCTAAAATTATCCAAAATTAAGTAATGTAAAGAAGTTTTATGTGAACAATGCTAAACAGTTAAGAAAATAGTAAAAATTATAGTGAGTAAAAAATATATTAACTAAACTACTCTTTAATATGTGCTCTCATTTTTGAAGTTCATTTAAAAAAATAAATAGCTGCTTTTGTTATAATTTTCATATACCATTGAACAAGACTATGGCAAACTTTTTTTGACCTTTTACATTGAGTTTATACAATATATCTATATAATTATATACTTTATAACTTGTTAATGTAATCTTAAAAACACAGGGAATAGTGAGATTTTAATTGACATTGAATTAATTAGTAAAAGTTTCAGTATAAAATTTAATTTTATATTTATTTTTTTATGGTACATTGGGGTTATATTTGGATTTATAATTGTTCTAACCATTTTTCAGAATTATAGGTTTTGAGCACTTAAATACACTTTTAGATTGTTTAAGGTAGATAATGCCATAAGTCCTGTCCAAAACCAGTTTTGAATATCCAAAACCCTAAACCATAAAAAGAAATTAATAAACTTTTTTTAAAACCCATTCATAAAAGCAACATAAGAAATTACTAAAGAATCAAACTTAAAAACATGGATTTGAAATTGAAAATTTTTAAACCTAACCTACAAACTTACCTTAGCTAAAATATTACAAATATTATAGTAATGTTCTTTTATATCTTCAACAGAGCGATTTGGGAAACGTGATCTATCCCAGCGATCTTGAATTACAATGAAGCGCAAGTCAAATGTTCTACATAATTCAAACAAATGATCTGTTTCCTGTCTTGTCCAGCCTTCAGTTTGAAGATGTTGCATATATTCGTCATCAGTATATTCTGGCACTGAAACTGTCTAGAGAATGAAATAAGTAATTAACTAAAAAATAAACCTAAATATAAATTAATCATCATCAAAACTTCAACTTTCTAATGCAGAGATAAAATTAATGGCTACTATGCCTAGTTTAGGCTGATTAATTTAATAGATAATAATAGAGCTAATAAATGGCTACTATGGCTAACTTAGGCTGATTAATTTGCCAAATATTTCCAAATATAAGCCCATTCATCTATAAGCCGAGAGTACTCTTTTATTTAAAAAAAATTACCCAATCAAACCCCATAAATATAAGCCAACATAAAAAAGTAACACTCGCTATCTGTGTTTACCTTCCCTTTTTAAATACCCAGCCATCTCAGTTTATTTGTTTTCCTCTGTTCAAAAATTAAAACCCATTGAAGATCACTGATTCATTCCTATCTACTTTTGTTTTCCCTCTTGTCTAAAGTTTTTCAATTTAACATTTCAGATTGACATCATAAACTGTTCAGCTTGACAAAAAGCCACAGTAAATCAAACATTAACAAAGAGAGCATTCTGAAGTTAGCAAGTTTAAATTTTTCTGTTTGTTTGCTATTTTATTAGAAAAATGAGAAGTAAAAAAAATTCTTACTAAATAATATACCTTTTTTATTATCATTTCTATGTGTTTCCTTTTCAATTACTATTTTTAGGCATTTTATTTTCAACTGTTATTTTATGAATTTATATGTTTTTATATTTTCATGATATTTTTCAATCTATCGCTAATGCTTAATCAATAAAAAAGTATTAATTTCTGCAATGTTCAGATGATATTATGAGAAAATAACAGATTGAATTATAAGCCTATATTAAGCCATGAGCTTGCTTAGGTTGTACATTAAAATTCAATTAATTTATTGCAACACAAGCACAGAAGAAAAAATTTGTTACCAAACTAACATTTTCCTACAAAAATTAATAAGTATTTTTAAACTTCTTCAATAATCATCCATATTAATTTTTTAAGTTATACAGTCATAGATAAAAATAAAATATTGGAAACAAAATATAAATCACATCTTTTTTTCTCTATCGTAAACATCAAATTTTCATAACATAAAATTTGTGAGACTTAATTCAGAAATAAGATTTAAAAATGTAGCTAGAGAATTCACCTAACAAAAACATATACGTGCTGGTGAATTCTTTCCATGTAGATTCTTTTTTATGTACATGTTATTTTTCTTTTCAATTGTATTCATTTGAAAATCAAAATAACATGCACATAAAAAAGAAAGCATAAAACTTTTTTGGTGAAATTTAAGCTATTTCATGAATTCAAGAAAATAAAAAGACCATTTAAAAGTAAAAAGAAGACAAAATTTATTTCACGCATCTACCATAACTTTTAAACCATAACTTTGTTATAGCTTTTTACAGGAACTTACTTTGTTAAATTTTGCAAATGCATATTCTTCATTTTGGTCCTCTATTCTACGCCAATGATAAAACACAGCTCCATCCTTGAAAGAAAAAATAATAAAGAGAAATTTAATATAAAAGCATTATCATGACTTCTATACAACTTGATGAAAATTACTTTTTATTACTATGATTCTGTTTAAAAAATAATGCAATATTTTGAAGTATTGTAAAAAAAAAAAATTACAATTGCTGTACTTTTAAAATATCAAAATAAATACAAAGGGATATTTGTACTAATATAAAAACAGAAAGAAAACAAATTTTAACCAGGGTTGGGGTTTTTGACGTCCTAAACTGGTTTTGGACAGGACACGTGGGTTTTACTGTCTTAAACTGGGTAAAACTGTCCTAAACTGGGTAAAACTGTCCTAAACTGGGTTAAACTGTCTTAAAGTGTCCAAAACCTTGAACTTTGGTAAAAGGTAAAAATTCTATAGGTGTAACCATTGTACACATAATAATTACATGTATCAATAAATATTTGATATTTTTTATACAATTTACTATAACTTATTAAAAGAAAATAATATAATATAATAGGAAAAGGTTTATAATTTTTGAAGCTCCACAATTCATTGAACAACAAAAGTGAATACCTAATCCTTTAAATATAAATATGCTTTTAATACTGATAAATAATATTTTTGCATAAGGATAAATATGGCAATATTAAAAAATAATAATTTTTCTTTAAAAAAATACCAAATTTGTTCAAAAATTAACCTTTTATTTTTCACAATATTTTTTTTTTAAAAAATTTTATAATTTCTGCATCACAAGATTATAAAAAAGACATCTATTTTAAAAAAAATTGCCTTTAAATATAAACATATTAGTTTAAATTGAAAATACAAAATAACTGAAAAATGTATTAACAGTTTTGAAGGGCATAACATCAGTTTCAGTTACTGACACTGGTGATGTATCACCACTACGCTAAAAGAATTGAACATGAATGAAATAAAAGTATTCTTGAATAGTACTACAGATAAATAAACCTGTTTATGAAGAAACAAGCACTTAGTCCCTAATATTTTAACCTGTATGGCAAGGCCAAACTTCAGTTATCAAACAATATTAATAAAACATTATACTTTTAAAAACAAATATTCTCTAGTATATTCAATTATCAATATGTTATTAGTTCTATGCTTATTTTACCTCTTAAATATTCAGATAAAATTGTGACATAATTTGAGTAAAAGGGTTTTGGACAGTTTTGGACAGGACGGTTTAAACCAGGGTTTAAACCGAGGATTAATCCATTCTGTCCTAAACCTTGCCAACCCTGATTTTAACTAAACCCAAAATAATAAAGCAGATAAAAAATTAGCAAGAAAACGTATAAGAAACACATATAAAAACAAACATAAAAAAATAATTAATAAATAAATAAAAACTTTGAACAATATTAAATATTTAAAAAAAAAGGCTTTTATTTGTTTGAACACTGAGAAAGTTCCTGTTCACAAAACTAAAACTATAGTATACCCATTTTTGTATATTTATTTGAGCCACTATAACATGGTTTTGCTTAAAATTCATATGTAACACAAAGTATAGGCACCATATCTTCATTTGGTAAGTATTAGCAGCATTTTCCAGCTACATAAAAAATATTCTTTTCTCTCAATTTTGAATTTGTAATTTCTAATAAAATCTTCTACTAAAATCTATTTTCTTAATATGTATAAGAAAAAAAAATACAGAAATTTAAAAAAAATACAGAACATTTTTCAATTGAAGTCAATAATTATTATTTTAAGTATTAAATATTCATTAAAGTAACAATAATAAAAGTAACTAACGAAATAACTATTTATGTTTAGAAAAAAGATATGCTTGTATTATTGTGACATATATGTTTGTTAATTATTTTTTCCTTGGCATTGTAAATGTATCAATTTGTAAATGTATCAATTAATCAACCAAAACTAGTTAATCTGATGTAAACAAGATTGATTTGAATACTCTTAATTAATATAAATGTTTGTTCATAAAAACTTACTTTTCGAGCAGGGTTTGTGAATGGCATCCATTTCCAGGGCCTAACTCGTTTCAGACCTAATTTAGCTTTGGTCTGTTTATAACCTTGATCACTATCAGTAATATACATTGGAGCTTTGTCCCTAAAAAAAGTGTAATTTAATTTATAACAACTCAAAAATCCTATATTAGTATAAATAAAACCAACTGAACCGGTAATTATGAATTAAATTTTCTTTTTTATATTAAGATAATTTATTTATTGTTGGATTGCATGATATAATAAGTTAATTTAACTCAAAATGAATAAAATTTAGAATTCTTCCCACTTTAATTTGCAATTGAAGTTATAAGTAATCAATGATTAATTATAAAATTAAAGTGAATTTAATTATGTTTAAAATTCCACGTTTAGGAAAGAAAAAAATGTTTAGAGTAATAAATTGTGGAATTAAAATGTTCATTTTCAATTTCAAAAAAAGAAGAAGAAAAAATAGGCAACATAAATTTCAATAAAATTTTATTAAAAAAATTTCCATTTTGTAAAAACAGTTTTCGAAATGTTTAATTTGATTTTTATTAATAAATACTTCTAAATTCTTTTCCCATTTTTATACAAGCAGAAATTATTTATCATCATAGGTGATTTAAAAAAATCACTTCTTTAGATTTATTAATTATGATTGATAGATAAACACCTGAACTGTAGCATTTTTCTTCTAAATCTATTTATGATTATAAAAACAAGAATTAAAACTAATAATGATTAAAATTAATGGCACATATTATAGGAATGTTTTATTTATTTATTAATTAGACAATTAGTGTCTGCAAAAATAATATACAAAATAACCTTTAAATTCATTCAAAATTACTTATAACAATAATGTACTACATAAGACAGGTGGGCCAAATTTAACAAAAGGTAAATAAACTACAATTTTTATTGAAAATAATTTTGTATTAATATACTAATAATATTCAATTATATAATTTTTCCACTAAGTAAATTTTTATTGCAATTTGAGCATGAAAAATAACTTGATTCTCACAACTTCATCAAGTTATTTCTTCTGTATATTAAACTAGTTTTTGCCTATTATTCAATGGGAAAGTGGTGTTTAAAGCAAAACATTACAAACAAATTTGCTTACATTCATTGATTTAATCACGTGCTTACAATTATTGACTTAAATATAGTTCATTATTATAAATTTAGTAATATATACACTAGATAAAAAGCATTAAATTTCATAATTAATTTGCAACTACTAAATTTTTAAATTGATAACATTTCTTCTAAAGAATAATTATATCAGTAATAAGTTCTTAATATTCCTTATGTGTTCAGTGCCTTTTTATTTTACCTGAAAATAGCCATATCAAATTGTAGAAAACCTTCGGAAAGTTAAATTGAAAAGCTTATTTATGTTTGCTAAGAACATATACATATATTTACATTAAAAAAAAAAATTCTTAGTAACTAGACATATTACTTGCATATATTAGTTAAAAAAGAAATTCCAAACTTTCCATCTAATACCATTGCTTGGAATGGAAAATTATAAAGATGAAAATATAAAAAATTATAGATGATAAGACTTACTTATTATCTGAATATAATAAGGCATAAAGTTCTCTGTGCATTCCTTCAGGTCGCTTAAACGTTGCTTCTGTAAGCTTTTTCTTTTTCTAAAATAAAATAATAAAATAAAACCTTAGGAAATATTCAATAATTTTACAATGAACTTTGTATATCATTATATTTATAACCAATGTTTTAAAAACAAAATTATCATAACACCCTATTCTAGAGCAAATTATAAAATAAAGAAATACAGTTTTATAAGATATTATTTTTTAAAGAGTCGTTTTTCTCGGGTTTCTTTTATCAAATAAAAGAAGTACTATAGTACATATGTGCAACTGTGAAACCCTGAAAAGAACTAAAAAATATATGTTTTGATAAAAAAAATCTAGTAACTGAAGAATTGTAAGGGAAAAAAATTTATTCACAATTTGTAACTAGACTGATTTATTCTATCGTGATTTTCTAAAGACATTTTCTCTGTTTATTTGACTAACTTTACTTTTAATAAGTACATAACTGTAAGCATTCATAAATAGATAATAATATATTGAGCAATTTTCACTTTTTGTTGAAAAATTTTATCTATTTATTTACTTTTTTTGTAATATATTTCACACCATAAGCAAAGGTTGACAGGATGGCACTAACTTACAAGCCCCTTTAAAAGATTTAAGTTTATTAAAATGACTTCACAAAATTCATTCACAAAGTTTCATTGTATAAAAATGATCCCTTTACAAAATTTTCCCATAACCTTTTCTCAAAACAACTAATTAAAAACTGAAAGAAAACTAAATTTGCCAGAAAACAAAACTTCAAACGAAAGTTCAATTTTGATCCTCTATTTCTGAAATCGACTCATAAAAATCATGCATGAGCAAAGATAATTTGATAAATGTTTCAAAAGAAAACACAAATTATTTATTTTTACACACCAAATATGGTTGACGCTACAGAATATAATAGTTTTTCTTGACAATCAGGCTGATGGGATAAGATGTGAGAACTTTTTTATTGATAAGAGACTGCATAAGGTATTAAAAAAAAATTTTTTTTTGCCCTTTATACAAAATGCAGCACATACAATAGTCCAGACCTTTGATGTTATCTGAAGATCTGTTGACACAAAAACAACAACACCACATACTTGTTTGGAAATACTTTTCATATGGAACAAAAATAAGTAACTCTTAAAATTTAATGTATAACTGTGCAGTAACTTCTAAAATTTATTTACATCTCTATGAAATTTTACATTATAATTTTAAAAATTTTCATTTTTTTTATACAAAAATGAGCCAGAAAAATAAAACCTGAATTGATTCTTGGTTAGACATTAAACTAAATTAGACTAAACTCAGTGACGAGACAGCCCATAGACAGCAAAGGCCCATTTCAGTTTTCTTAACCTTGGGCTCTGGGCTGCAGGAGCAGATACTCTGGCTGTGTGGTCAGCTGAACCCCCAGTGTTTAGTCCCCAAGTATGCTTGGTACTCTTTTAATCGACCCATTGAAAAGATAAAGGCTGATTGATTAGACACTACTGCCTTTAAATTGTAGAAAAGTAAAATTATTTTTTAAATTCAATTTTTTGTATTTAAAATATATATTTTTTAATGTCTTATTCTAATGAGCATTCATTCATCATATTTTAGCAAAATTTCTGAATTAAAAATAGAATACAAATTATTTATCATATATATGTTAAAATTTACTCTCCATACCCTTTTGGAATCATTTCCAATAATACTTTCTTTGCTAATTTCAGGTGTCTGAGGTCTCTCAACATCAAGAATATCCAGAACATCACTCATCTGTTAATAAAAACATGTATTTTTATCTAATCAAAATAATATTCACAGAGTTATAAAAGCAGTGAAATAAAATTTAATAATGTCATTTTTAATTAAGCAGAGAAATAAAATTTAATAATGTCATAATTTAATCATTCAATACATAGTCTAAAAAATTTAATAATTAGTTATATTCAGAACACCAATTATTATAAAATGAAGTATACATTCAGAATAGCCCTAATATATATAATAAAACCAAAACATTATTTTATAATCAAAAATTAGCATTTTTATAATAAAAATCCAATCAAAAAATAAAAAATATTAATTGTTAACAATAGATTTTAAATGATTACATGATTAGAAATTGTAAAATTTTGTCAATTAATAAAAAAAACCTCATATACTTAAATTTTGAAAGAAAAAAAAAAACTGTAAAATGCTGATAAGATTCAAAATAATGCTGTCAATACGACAGTGAGTAAAAATCGGATATTTACTGTAATAACAGTGAGTAAAAATCGGATATTTACTGTAATATAGCGAAAAGTTAATGTATATAATTTTAAAAAAAAAAATCCACAAATTTTTTTTTCATCATAGAAGAAATTTGGAAACCCAGAAGTAAACTTAAATAGTAATATTGGTAGCTACCTATGGGGAAATCATAAATTATGTATCATTTTTAACTTACTGCAAAAACGAGAACCATGCACTGGTTTCTACATTACACAATAATCACAACACGCACCACAGTTATTACCAAAGTTTGACAACAAGTACTTTTAATAAAGAAAAAAAAGAAAACATCAATGTTGTTTTAGTGAGGATGTCACCATTTTGCTATTTATTTACTCCTACCCTCGCCAAGGAGTCAAAAAATGTATTACAAAAAAATTTTTTATATATATTTCATTGTTTCGAGGGATATTTCTGTAACCTTATCTGTAGCATCACAATAATCTTCAAGTTTTGACGACAACTGGAAAGTAACCTGCGAGAAACTAAAAAAATCACAGAAAAAGACAAACTTAAAAGATAGAACTCTAGGTGAACCCATGGCAAATCATTAAACATTACTTTTTTTTAATGCGAATGCAAAAACCCACTTGTGCCTTGAGGATTAAAAGTTCCTTTCCAACTCAAGTACTGTGCCTGACGTAACCATGATCTATTTTGTGTAAGATATGAAAAATGTTTCCACGAGAAGTTTGCCGTAGAAAAAGAAATGCATTTTTTTAATAAATTAAAAACTAAGTATTTTTATTAGAGAAAAAAAAAACATAAATATTGTCTTAGTGATGATGTTTCCATTTTGGTATCAATTGATGCCTATCTTTGCCAAGGCAGAAAAGTTTTCAAGCTTGCGAAAATTTGAAGAAAAAAAATATGTAATGGTTTAATCCAGGTGGGAAAAGATATTTCTGTGTGATCTTGCCAATTACAATTGACAAGGCAACAAATTTTTTTTGTTTTAAAAAAAAATTTGTTGAAGTTTGCCCTTGGGTTTGCTTCCTTCTGCGATTGCTTTTTAGTTTCTTGTTTGAAGCTGTTTGGAAATTGATAAGACTTGATAGGATGATTTCCCCACCATGATCTGCGGCAGAATAATCGCAAAGTCTTGGCAAGTTCCAAGCAGCGGCCCAAGAGAAACTAAAGAAAGCATCCCAGAAAGTCGTATCCACTCTAGGCAGGGAAGATTTCTGTATTGTGATCTGTGGCAGAATCGCCAAATCTTGGCAATTTCCAGGCAGCAGCTCACAAGAAACTAAATAAAAAACTCACAGAAAGGAACATTTCATAGCTACCCCAGCCAAACACCTACTGATTTATTTTTTTTATTTAAATTGCAAATTTAAGATCTATTTGGCACCTAGGAGATGGGGGGAGATTGCAGTTGGTGCAACAGATAACGATACAGGTATATCCCCTCAGGGCAAACCTTCACACTTTCTTAATTTTTTCCCCTTAAAATCAATTTGGTGATTGAAATTAGCGAGGCTAATCAGAAACCAGAAATGTTCCGAGCTTGGAGACTTTTCCGCTGCAGATCACGCTAAAGAAAAAATCCCAACAAGGGTGGCTATGATATATAATTTTCGAGTTGGCTTTTTATTTTTATTTTTTAGTTTCTCACGCATAACTGCCAGGAAATCGCCAATACTTGGCGATTATTACCGATTATACAAATCGGAAATCTTCCCGCTTTGTTTTTACTCGTTTCAGAGTATCATATTCTATATTAATAAGTAGGAGAACAAAAATGCAAATGTTAAACATTCACATATTTCCCTAGAATAAAAATATATTGTACACAATTCAATACAATCCATAAAACTGAATTTAAGAGGGAGAAAGATTTAGCAGTTTCTATATTTAAAATCAACTTAAGTTTCAATAGATTTTTACAATATTATTGTTTTACCTTTGGCTTTGTTTATTTACTTTGTTTATTTTGCGGAAATAGTAATTTCTTCAAAATCAATTCAGGAAGCCTTTCAGTGGTTTCTGCTTTGTTTTGCCTGAACTGGAATTCGATACATTCCATCGAGCTACACTAAACAGTTGAATTCATAAAATCTATAATTTAAACAAATTTTTTTTAAAACTTGAAATACCAGAAAACTAAGAGTAACTATTGCATCCCATAATGCGTTCTTAAAGTAAATTAATCAATCAATCAATAAGCATTCTACAAAAATCAGAACCTGGAAATTAAACTTGAAACAGTTTAAACTGATGTAACTTTCGTTCCTTAATTTTACGAATTGAAATGTTTTAAACTGCGGAAGACTTTGTTGAAATTTCTATCAATAAATCAATTAAATCATTTCAATCATTTGAAAGGCAAAAGATTACTGTTTACCAACACGAAATAAGTTACGATGGCTTCTCTTACTTCTGCAAACACTGCTAAGCTTTTATCGTTGATACGAAATACGTCTTTAATTTCTTCCTCGTGAGTATATTTTTACGATTTGTTGAAATATATATTTCAATAATAAAGGCTATCTCGGTATAAACATTAACTAGTCATCTGAGTATATGGTTCTGACTATGCTGCATTTAACTTCCTTTGTAATACAGTAGAGTTTCGATAATTCGAGGTGAACGGAACCAAGTCTACCTCGAACTTTCGAAAACTCGAATTATGAGAAACTTAAGTTTAATAAATATTTAAATAAATGGAAACAAAGCAATTTTTAAATTTCAGTAATTAACTGAAAATTATATTATATTTAAAAAAATTTACCTGCAATAGATGATCTGGGTTCATTTGCTGCATTACACCAAGTTACAATGTACACTATATTACTGCATCAAGTTAATTATACAAAATAATTGTCTATTTTTTGTTTAAACACATTGTTCACATGTTTCTGTATTTCGCAAATTTGTCTCTCAACATTCAGGCGTAGTAATCGTAGTAAAACCAATCGTAGTAATTGTTCTACGTATTAAGTGTGCTTTGGTCATTATTTAGGAGCAAGGTTGTTGTTTTTTTTTTTCTTCACTTGCTCAGATTTATGGGAAACTCAAACTATAAAGCCTACTGTAATCATATTAAATATGTTTGGCTCTTACTAGCCTTGTTTTAAAAACCTATTGTTACAATGGCGTATAAACAGATAGTTCACATCAAACACTTGTGACTGGTGAAAAAAAAAATACTATAATTGCTTCAAGTCCATAATATTCTGTATTGTTGCGTGCACCATAAAAGTCAACAAATTTTGGCGACATCAGGGCAATGGCACGTGAGAAACTAGAAAGAAAAAAAACTTGGAATTGGGCTAACTCCTAACCCTTCTGAGGCAAATCATTTGTTTAAAAAAAATTGCAGGTATTAAAACACTTTAGTGCCTTGACAATGGTTGTTGATGTGAACGAGTTCTGATAAAGTAATATCCTCATTAATATTATTGTAATTGAGCAATATATTATGGTGAGAAGATTGCTTTTCAAAATAAAATTTTTGTATGGATTTAGTTATATTGGTGCAAAAGATTAGTAGATGCTGCAAGAAGCTACGTGAAAAACAGCATGGACAGATTTTCTAATTGGTACGGCGGACATAAGAGGTGCCAAATTTTAATGACGATCAGGTCAAAAACTTAAGAAGAAAAATCATTGATTAAGAAACTTTGAAAAAAAATATTTAAAAAAAAAAACATTTCAGCAAGGAAGTAACTCATAATCATTATTGATATAGAAATATCCCCAACAGCATTTACAGAAACTTTTAGTCTCAAAATAAATTTTTAAGAATAGAAAAAAAAAATATATATATATATTAGTGTTAAAAAATATAAAACAAATATACTTACCACTGTAATATAGTTAAAATATTACTGTGGTAAGTATATTTCTTTTTAAATTTTTTAAGTCCCACATTACTTGTTATGGGACTATACTCAATTCTTTTATATAAGTCCTGTAAGCCTAAATAACATTGTTTATCAGAAAAACTCAATTACAAAATAGTAAGCATTAGATCTCAGTATAACCTACATGCATGACTATATCAAATTTTATTTTAGAAAAAATATATCTACTGCAGTACAACTGAAAGCAAAAGATAAGGTAGTTGAACCAGGTTATAAGGATGTTGAAACTGCTATACTGGATCCTGAGGAACAGCAGCATTTAGAAAAAATGAAAAAGCACATCACTACACTAGCTCTTGTAAGTAAAAATTAAAATAATTAATATATTATAATGTTTCATGGATTATATTGTACAACTTGATAAGCAAAGTGATGTTAGCATTACTAACAACTGCATTAATAACACAGAAATATTATTTATAATTGGCTCAGTATGTGTACTTTTTTTCCCATTAAATCCTTCACGAGACTATTCAATTTTAATTTTATAAGTTTTTTATTGTTTTACATTATTTGTAAAGTTTTCATATGTGTTGAAAAAAAGTATTTGAGCCTGATTCAGATTCTTTTATTCAGCATACAAGGACTGTACAGTGATGGTAACCTTTAATGTATATTTTCTAATCTTTATTAGAGGTCAAGAAGAAATATTAATGTGAGAAAAATGTCATAATAATTCTAAATTCAATCTAATCCTTATTAAGTTTATGAAAAGCAAATGAGAAATTAAAAAACATCAAAAGCTAATATATTTGCCCCATTGGAATCATTGGAATCATGCATTTGGCCGCATTTGACTGCCCAAATTATGCAATTTCATGCTGACAGGCTTTTTTATTAAAGACAAAGCTTAGAGCCAACTAACCCACAGAAGGTAGCAAGTGCTGTATCAATGAAATTCCTCCTCATTTATGTAAAACAGCCATTAAAAGTTCTAAAAACACAAAAATTAAATAAAAAAGAGTGCATATATAACAACAACGGCTCCTTCATCATCCTTTATTCTGTTTTACAATTACAGTTCTATAACAATTATGTGTATTTTAAAAAAATCACTACTGATCCTTAAACCTAAACATTCTAACGAAACCTTTTCTCAATTTATTTTAATATTTACATTCTATTTTATTTTAAGTATTGAAATAGATAAACGTCTAAATGTATCTCATCTTGTATGCTGGTCATAAATATGAAGTGTTTACTTCATGAGGGTTTTACAAAATGATATCCATGTTTCTTTTGCGTCTGAATCGATTTTCCGTTATTTATATTATTATTGCTCAGTCCCTTAAGAAGTAATTTGTTTTTATTCATCTTTTTACTTTCTAGCACTATTTCTGATAGATATTTTTTTGTTGCTCTTTTATATTATATACCACTTATTAGAGTAAACATTTATACATCAATTGTTTTGTAGTTATTTTCAACAACAAAAAAAAATGGATAAGAAACTATTTGCAATGTTAATAATTTTTTATACCTTTCAAGCCTGATATTTCATCAGTGACGGGAGTACCAGAAGAACATGTTAAAAGTAGATTGGTGAGAATCTTTAAGCCTGCTAAAAATCCCATGCAATCGGGTACTTTCAATATTAAGAAATGGAAAATGGAGTTTGAAACTAGACAGCGCTGGGAAAACTCTCTTATGGGTTGGTCATCAACGTAAGTATATGCATTTAAAAATACAAATTAAGCATCTCTATAAATATTTCGTTATTTAATTATTTTTAAAATATTGTTTTTGCTTATAACCTGAGTCAGATTTGAATTTCACTCCTTACTGGGAGTGAAAATACTTCTCATAATTTTTTTCTTGCATGATGACATCAAAAAAACGATGACATGCCCTAAGTATATCCGTGATTGTTGAGGGGATGATAATGATACCTTCCTTACGTATCATGAATTCAGAAAATTAACTATTATTGCTCTAACACTACCTAACAACTACAGATGCTTGCAAAAAATAGTTTTACATCTCAAAAATAAAGTGAAATCTAAAAATATTAACTCTACTTAAAGATGAGCATTTGGATAGTGTATGCAATGTGGAATAATGTTTTTTTTTTAATTATTATTATTAAATATTCAATTTAAATAATTGATATGTTAGTTAGAATAATGATGATGAACATAATCATAATTGTAAACATAATCAAATTATTAGGTTGTATTAAATTGCATCAGGTGTGGGAACCTTCAAAGTACATTTATAGACCTTGCTGAAAAACTCATGAAAAAATTTTTAAATTCATCCTATTTTTCAAACTTAGTGAATAATTTTATTATGTAAGGGGTCCTATAAGTGAAAAACTATTGCTATCAGTAACTATGTCTGGGTTATTATTTTAGTATATGATTAAAATGTAAAAAAAAGTTGTCAATATAAAATTAAATTCTTTGAATATTCTTTGCACAAGGCCCCTAAAGTTTCGGAAAGGCAGAGTCCTGGACAAATGAACTGTTGCCTTACATTTACAAAGCCTATGCCAATGCATAATTATAAGATATAGTTAATATTATTAGTTATAATTTTTAATATGGGTTATATTTCAACTATTTTTTTAAAACAGCATTAAAATAAAATACATTTGTCTCTTTTATTTTTTAAAGTTAACATTTTTTTAAATTTTGTCTACTTTTTAGGGGTGATCCTTTGTCAAATATGAATGTGCAGTTTTCTAGCAAAGAAGAAGCTATAGATTTTTGTGAAAAAAATGGTAACTTCTTTTCAGATAATTTATTTATTTATATATATATATATAGTTAAGGGGCATTATTCTCTGCATTTCAAAGTTATATAATATTTTTACAATTAATTTTTAAAAGCCAATAGTTAACTTTGTAATTGATTATTGTAATTGTATTAAGAGATCAGAGGATCGGAAAACATGTTTATTAATACATTACATAGACAAAGAGTAATCGAGTTGGAAAATGTACACGTTATGTACTATATATTTTTTGCTTAACAACATTCATCCAAAAATATTCAAAAGTTCCTCATAAAAAAGTTGAAGAATACAAAAGTTGAAGAATACATTCAAGCCTCAAAAGTTGAGGCTTGAATGTATTCTTAGAAACAATGTTTAAATAAAAAGTCAGTGATATAGTGATGTTTATATGTAAATCTAATCTTGAAATCACAAGTTTGTTTTATTTTATTTTTTTCATTATGTAAATGTATTAATTTATTAGTTATGAAGTTTTCATAAAATCTTTCATTTATCATTTTCAGGTTGGCCATACTATGTTGAAGAACCTAAAACTCCTGCTTTTAAGCCTAAAAGCTATGGAGCAAATTTTTCTTGGAATAAAAGAACCAGAGTATCTACTAAATAGATATTTTATATGAACTATTCTTAATTGTAGTTAGATAATGAGAAAATATATGTTTCATAGTTTATCAGTTCTAATAATTTGAAGTTAATATATACAATTATACTGACTCAATAAATTGAATAATTTTGATGGCTTATTCTACACATTTTATATCATTCAAAATAAAGTCTAAAATATTGTTCCTTAGTACTTTAAATAATGAAATGAACCTTTAATGGACATCAATTTGTAGTTCATTAAAATACTGATAGAAAATTAAATGAAATTTTGTTGAATTTCATTCCAAAAATAATTTGTTTTCAAAGACCTTTTGAAATATAATAACTTTCCCTCTTCACTTATGTTGAAATAAACTTAGTTTTGTTCTTTGGTAAAATTTGTGCAGACTTTTCATTTGACTATAAAGATATGTGATACTAAGAGAGATTTTTTAATTTCTTTACAAATGAGAATATTTATTTAAAATAAGTCAGTAGATAATTTTGCTACAAAATTTTCTCAAATAACACTTAAAAGACAGCCAATTATAATGCATATTTTATTTACTTTTTATGCATCTTAACTTTTAACGAATAAAAGCTTTGAAAATAATAGAATGTGTACAAAATTAAAAAAAATTGAGCACCAAAAACCTTTGATCTGATGATCAGAATTCCAAATAAGGAATCTTAAATGGTTAGAAGACAAATGCTAAGCTAAATAATTTATGCAAACAATATTTTAAGCTATGAAAACAGACACAATAATGTAATCTATCTGAATAAGCATACCTTTTTTAGACGAATTTAAATTTTTGACCCTGTCCCTTAAGCAGTCAGAAGTTTGGACCTCTTAATGTTAATTTTCCTTTTTGCCTATTTCACTTTATCTCTAGAACTATTTATGAAGTAAACCGATTTTGAACTTGTTTGTCCAAACATAATTTTATGCAAAATATAGCTTTATATAGTTCATTACTAGGTTACTTTGATATAGTTCATTACTGGGCAAAACACTTTTGAATTGTTAGATGAGAAGAAAAAAATTTCCTGTATTTAAATGTAATTTTAGAATACAACATAGGTAAAATAAGCCAAATAAATTCTGGGGGGAAAATGTTTCCAAAAAAATTGATATTGTAAAAGTTCAGTTTCTCGAAAACTATTTCACCGATTTCATTCAAATTTTGGGTTTTATAATTTAAAATTAGATAGTTAAAATCCTAGAATCCAAATATGTTTTGACCGTTATTAGTTAAAATATTTATACACGTTATTTAATTCCTCAAATTGTTTCTAGAGACATAACAAAGAATGTATTAAATTAGGTATAAAAATTGAAATTAACATCAAGAAACTAAATTTTCAATCACTTTCCTGGTTAAACTATTTATAATCATATTTATCAGATTATGATTTCTTTCAAAGTCGAAAATGAAATCCGCCAAAATAAATGTATGTTTATTCAAAGAAGGTACTTTTTTAGTTTGATTTTGTAATCTCATCTGCATAAATCAATGCATTTAAACTTAACCCTTTAAACCAGGTTTTTTTTTTTTAAATTGCATTATTTATTTTTGATAACCCTTTAAACCAGGTTTTTTTTTTTTTAAATTGCATTATTTATTTTTGATAAAAGTATTTTAATAAATGTTTAATTTAATTTTTCTAATTTCTACAATTCCTACTTTTTAAATTAAAAACAGTGAAATCTAAATAAGTACACTAAACTTTAATACATATAGAATTCAAAAATGAATTTATTTTTATTAAAACATATTATACATTTCACAATTTGTAACATCAACACAAAATAAAAACAAGTAATAATATCACAAGTTTTATAGATGAAACTAAGTATGAATTGAGTAGTAATAAATTAAATTACAAAAAACATAAGCAAAACAGTTTTTTTCATAACTAATAATTTCAAGAAAATATACATATGAATAGATGTTTGCAGTGGTTTTCATTGAAAATTTGTATTAAACCATAAATAGGGAGAGACTGCACAAAACTTACAAAATGAAACACTTTTTTAAGCACTTCATACAAATCAAACTAAATGTAGAAAAAAAGCTGAAAACTGCTATTGTGCTTAATTTAAAACAGTATGTAAATAAAAACTTGCAATTTGTTAATAACTATGGAAAAAAGTTCTCTTTTTAAAATATTTATAAAGGAAAACTTATATATACTTCAATAAAGGCAATTATTTTAGCTTTGAGTTAATTAAGGTGAGAATTTTTATGAAGCAAAGACATCTTGAAAAGATATTTCTTTAAACTAATTTTCATTATTCCTTTGGAATAATGACTCAAATCTTTTACAACTTCTCAAGTTTCTTCAAACATCATTTGCTTCTCTTCATCTTTTTTTCTTTCAGCAGCTACTTCAAATGCCTTTGGGATATGTTGCTGCATAGAGACATATCCAGAAGGTTTATCTTCACAAAGAGAGGATGGTACTTCAATATTAAGCATTTCAGGTACCATGTAAGCTTTAAGCCAACCTACTAAAGGAGTAGTGGCGCTGATATAATGAGTTTTTCTGTGATAAAACAGCAAACCATCCAGCTGTACATGTGGAAAAAAATAAAAATAATAATTAGTATGATTTAAATCATCCATAACTATTAATTGAATGTTCAAATGTGAATGTGTAAAAAAAACAAAAAAACTAGACTTAATTTTTTGGTAAAAAAAAGTTTATGTAAATAAAATAAAAAAAAGGCAAGGATACTGCAATAAGAAACAGTAAAATTAGATAACATCACAAAGTTAATACAGTGATTGTCAGTATTAAAATCACTGGTTTATAAAATCAATAATTCAACTATAAATAAAGTTTTGAGAGTGAATTGCTGTGTCATTAAAAACCATTTCAAGTGAATTTTTTTTAGCTAGCTATATGCCTAAATGGCAAGATTTGAGTGTCAAGAATAAATTCGAAATGCATTAAAATTTATCTCTGACGATCAAATTAAAATTGAAAGTTACAAAAAGTTTTTAAAGCTAATTTTTATACCTTTAATTATGTAAGCTTTTTATAAAAAAAAAAATAGTAACAGATTTTAAAATATCCATTATCCACTTTTATATTTTATTCATTGTTGTAGACTACTAATATTGGCAACAAATTTCGATCTGAAATCATTTTTCAGGTGTTAACATTAATGAAATATTTACCCCTTATGTTTCTTATAAATTTTTCAAAAATCCAATCCTGTTAAAATAAACTTTAATAAACCTTTCTATAATTTTGAAACTATAATTAAAATTTCAATTACTTTATAACATAAGACTTTTAAATATATAATTGGTTTCATTAAATTATTTCCTTAACATATATGTAAATATAATAAAAGTTAAAACTGAAAATCAGTATGCAAAGAAAAAAAAAGTTTCATGGAAAATATCCAGATATCAGCCATCTAAACTATTTGTTATAATTGGTTACTAAGCAAATATGCCATAAAAAATTGCATATTTTTCCCTTGGAAAGTTTAAAATGTATGTTGAAAAAAATTTGTGAAATTATTTAAAATGCAATTCTTTAAAATAAAAATCTTTTAAAAAATCAAGAAAAATGGGCAAAAAAAAATTTTTTTTTTGCCTCTTTTGAAATAAACACAAAATATCAAACACCTAAAATAACTTACTTTTGATGGAAAAGGTAAAGGATCCTGAAGAGTTTTCTTCAAAGTTTCAGTATCACAGTCATAATGAGGTAAAGGAATAAATTTATACTAAAAAAAAAAATTGAAAAAAATCATAAAATTATGACCAAAATTAGCAAAAATCCTTTAATAATAAAATATTATTATTTACTTTTTGTTAAAGGAATATTAACACAATAGAACAATTATAACACACAGACTAGATAACAGAAATAGAGAATTCCAGGCATATATCATTCTATCTGGGGTGATTTTTACACTAAATGAAAATCCCTGAAACTTTTATGTGCAAAAAATCAATATCAAGATATCGATTTATATACCCCATATGTTTCCTATTTCACGTAAATTTTTTTATAAATAAGATTTATAATTGAATTAGCTACCAATGTTGAATATCACACCTTTATAGTAACTAATCTTATTTCTCACTAGTATCGTGTGAATATATTATTTTAAAATTGTGTGAATATGAATTGCAAAGTGAAACTTTTAAATTAGGTAAATACGAAAATTTATGTTTGATATTCGAACCACAGGAATATTAATTGCTATATTAGCGGATTGCTGCGCAGTTTCAAATATTCAAAATGACAAAAATCCGCCAAAGTAAAAGAATTGAATGGTGGATTTCTGCCCATTGGCAGAAGAATCGTGTGTATGTAAGCATTTCGTTAGCAGGAATTGGCAAAAGTTTCAAATTTTAGATTGAGGAATTCCGTGAAAATTTTGCCAGATTATAAGCTTTTGATTGGCAAAGGTCCGAGAATCAATGGTCTTGGGAAACGCAGAATTCCGTGATATTCCCAGAAAAATATTATGTCGTGCTATTAATTTTTAGACTAAAATTGTTACAGAGTAGGAATAAGATATTACATTGAGCAATTTTTAAACACTTATCAGATTGTTCCTAGAAGAAATATTCTTAATCATACAGCCAATTTAATAAATTGGTACAAAAAAAAGCTAATAATAAAAAAATATTTTAAATTACTAATTTATTACTCAATAATAGGAAATAAGACAGTATATTTTAACCAAATGATGTTAGGTAATACAGTAGAGAACCAATTATCCGTGATGCTCGGGACCATCGCTATCCCGGATGTCTGAATTTCCCGGTTTTCTGGATGGACCAAAAAGTGTCGTTAATCGATGTTTTATCGAACCCGAATTACAAGGAAAAAGTGTAACACATTTTAAAGTAAGAGAAAAAAGAAAAAGCACATTTAAATTTAAAAAGAAAAAAAATGATAGAAAAATAACATTTAAAAGTATAAAAAAAATTTGCAAGTTTAGACAAGAAAAACAAGTGTAAAAAATACAAAATTCTCATATTTATTTTTTAAAAATAATAACAATTCCTGAATTAACTAATATAAACAAAACCAATGATTAAATAACGCAATATATTTATTTCATACCTAATTATATGGGGGGGGACAATAAAATAAAAGAAAAACTCATTAATCTAAATAAAAACAACACTTGAAAATTATTGAACCGAAACGTTAGATAAAAAAAGGCACTAGCATAAATATTAAAACCCGGAACACGGCAAGATCAAGGGAATTAAAAAAAAAACTAATGATACAATTTATGATTAAAAAGAATTAATCTATTGAGAGCGAAATTTATCGTGAAAAGAAAAAAAATCAAACACAGCGGAATCAGAAAAACAAAACTGCAACCTGCTTCCTAAAATAATGGTATGTTTAAATTAATAAACAATTCTTTTATTTATTTTTTTATAAAAGCACAATTACAGCAGATGTGATTCCAAATCAAGAAAAACTTGCAAATGATATTGCACTACCAAAGAATCAGAATTTATTCATAAGAAAAAGATTTTATTTTTAGTAATCAATGTCAAATAAATAAATATATTTTTCTCTTTCATCTTCTGTTCACTGATATGCATGTGCAATGCATTTTCCCCACCCCCACTTCAGCATGCCACTTCTTTGAGTTTGATTGACGGCCGAAAGGAGAAAACAAAACATTCCTCCCTTTTGTGCCTCCTCTCGATCTAAAGATCTTCAAGGTCACGGAAGAAATGACGTGTCTCTGGGTAACCGGGGAAAAATTCTCCCCTTCCTAACATTTTCCTCTACTCAACTTCAAGGATGAGTCCAATTTCCGCTTTTTTTTCATAATTGTTCTAGCTGAAAATGGGGGGAAAATAGAGCAAAATTTTCCCTGGTTTTCTGGTTTCCCGGTTATCTGGATACCGGATAAATGGTTCTGTACTGTGTTAAAATACGGCTAATAAGGTTATATTACCTGATTATCATCAGAAATAGTTTTCACTTCTGGGGTCTCCTCAATTTTTGTATTCCTCCAATAAAATCGAAACTCTGTCTAAAGAGAGAAATATATTCAATGAATATTTATTCAAGCTAGTAAAAAATATGAGTTAATTAACATTTCTGAAATTTAAAATAAAAAGATTTTGCAAAAAATGAACTTTCATGAAGGAAGCAAAGATTAAAGAACATAAAAGCTAGTAATACTTAATCATTTGCACAAAAATGACTTTTAGTTAACAAACAGCACAAATGTAATACCTTCCCAGCAGAGGATGCTTAAGTGTTAGGCTAAAAATTAAATAATTGAGAAAATGTGTCTCACATTATAAAACCAATAACTGTAACATTCATATCCTGAATAAAGTTTCAAACAGTTCTTTAAATTAACATTACATTATTAAATATTTTCCTTTATTAAAATTGAAATATATGGGTTTTTTTTCTGTTTTTAATCGTGATTCTTTTTACAGAAAATTAAACGAAAGCAAATGGTAGAAAAATTTTATTTACAATGATATATACTTAAGAATGCTTTAATATACTTAAGAATAAGTATATAAAGAGTAAGTATTGAATTCATACAATAATTGCATAGGCATTGGCTTTAAAAGTATCTCATATCTTTTTTAAATTACGATAAGTTCTGCTACTTACTGTAAGAGAGATTTTTTTTTTAAAGTGTGACTCAAGGCAAATTTCTTTAACAAATTAATTTGACAGTTGATCAAAAAAATATGAATTTATTAAAATTAAATAAGTTTAATTATATTAAATAATTTAATATATTAATAAGTTTTCAGCAAAATTATTGTTAAAAAAGGAAATTAATCAGTTAATTATAATTTAGAATATCAACAAAACATTTAAAGTCCAATGATTTATTAATAAATTTTTTCAAAATTCTACCATTATTTAATTATTATTCTGATAATTCATACAATAATTAATATTAATCTGTGAATAATGTGCAACAGCAATTTTGCACAAATAACCAAAGATCAAGACTGATGATTATATACCAAATTATATTTTGGAGATAAAATTGTATAATATTTATGGGAAAAGTGGTTTGATTAGTGTTTAAAATACAGGACATTCTGTATTCAAATTTATAAAATAACTCTTTCAAATAAAATAGTGAATTAAAGATATAAGTCATGAAACTTGTTGCTTAAAAAAAAGTCAGGATGCTTTCAAACTAATTATTTAAAATGTAATAGTAAATTCATCTTTTCCTTGATTTTTTTTATTTTACTTCATTACATACCAGAACATAAGAAACATGCCTAAAAGAATTTATCAGAAATCAAAATTATTACTAACATATAAAAATGGTGAATACCATTTTTTTTCAAAATATTAAAATAACAGACAAACATTTAATACATAAAAGCTTAAAAAAATAAAAGAATATTAAGTAAAACAATAAAGTAATGTTAATAATAAAAATGTAATACAAAAATAAAATAGTATTTTAAATATAAGAATTCTTATTTCCTCACATCTGAATCATAACAAGGGTGAGATTTCCAGCACATTACATCCAATATATAATATGTTTTATTAGATTCATCGAATATGCAATCTAAGATGGTATAAGCTCTACCTGATCCTAGAACACAAAATTAATTGATAATGAACACAAAAAAAATGAATTAATACAAAATTTAATAATATGAAATTACGAAAAATGAATAATTATACAAACTGAAAAATAAATTCCATAATAACATGATATGAGTATATTCTTTTGCATATTGTCTAAAGATTTGAAAAATATTGTCTTGCTTTTTGTACCTGTTATAATCCATTGTATTTCGTAATTTACAAGGTAAGTAAAGATTTGGTTGAATGATCAAAAATAGGCACAAAAAATCATTGTCTTGATAGCAGTTATACACAACAAGTGTCATTAAATCAAAAATTTGGAAACTAACTCACTTATATCTTCTGATAATCTTTAAATTCAGTTTTGATAAATTTAGCAACAAAAAAAATTTAAATTTTAAAAAAGAATATTTTGAAAGCTCTGCAAATTGTCAAAGATAAATGAAAACTTTTTAATAATGAACACTTCCAAATTAATTTACACTCTTATCTTTGTAAAACAAAAACTATTTTAAATAGCTTTAAAAATTATCTTAAATTGAAAAAAAAAAAGAACAGAGGCTTTAGGAAAAAATTAGAAACACTTCTAGATTAAAATCAACTTTCCATTGTTTCATCTGACAGTAAAGAGTAAGAAAATAACATTTTTTATTTTTTGCCACCTTTTTTTGTTACATTACAGTAGCAGTAAACTTTGTGAAGAAATGAACTTTGAAGTGTGTTGAAGGTTTAAGCTAGAGATTACATCTGAGTTAAAAAAAATATCTAATTCTTAACATAGGTTTAGAATAATTGAATATTAATAAAAGTGATAGTTACATAAGTTCAAATATTTCATCTTTACAAAATTATTAAAAGAATAAATTATTACCTTCAATACGCCAATTGCCACCAGGTAAAAGTGAGTAAAAGGTATTCACTCTGTACCCACTTCTAGTATATACTTTGGTTTTACCCTAAAAAATAAAAGGAGAAAAGTATTTGATGTCAATAATTTTAAAGTAAAAAATCACATATAAGAAAGAAACACTTTTAATCAAAAAAATGTTTTGCCACCTTTCAAATTTGGAAATTATTTTATAATTATCAATTACAAGCAATTTGTTTTACTTTAAAGCATGGGGTTCAAATTCCTAATTGGAATATTTGTACTAACAATTCGTTTGTAAAACCATTTTGTCAAAAATTTAAAAAGAAAAGAGAGAAGAAAAAAAAGGGTTCTTTCTAGTTAAATTTTTTAAATGATTTATAACACTGGAAAAAAGTAACTTAAATCGAAGAAATTATACATTAAAACCAAAAAAATAAAAATTATTGTCAGTATTTAAAATTTTTATCTTAATTTTTATTTAAATTGCTCTGTAGAAATGTGAAGACAAATAGTTTTGCTCCAAATACAGTATGTCCTGAAACTAAGTCACAGTTTTGAGTATTTAGAAATAAAAAATTAGAAAAATTTAGTACTTTTGATACATTTGACTAAGCTTTATTAGCACTTAACTTACTGAAAATAAGTTCTGACTTTTATCGAACATTAAGCTGGTGGTTTACCTGTGCAAAAAATCAGTTTGCCCAATGTTATTTAATGGCAGAAAAGTGTATAGTAGGGGTATTTTTGCACATTTTTTTCCATTTGGAGAAATAAAGATTGAAATAAAAGTATTAACATTTTATCAATTCTTAAAAGATCAAACTATGTTATTTTTTAAAAGAGGCCTAAAGTATAGAGGTTTACATAAAGCACAAAAGAATATTGCTTACATTTTTCTCCTTAAAATTTGATTTAAAATTTCAATATATATTCATATGTACACAAAAGCAAATGCCTAAGTTTTGAAACTTTATCAATTATTTAAACGTTTTTTAATTCTTTTTTTGTATGATGTTACTTAACCCCTCGTTTATGGCACTTAGAATGATGAAACCTGTCTGCCTGGTCCAATTGTTATACTATCCATAAGCAAAAGGATCGTTTAGCATTTATATGAAAAAGAGTTTTTGGTAAGAGACAAATTATGCATTTCTTAAGCAAAAATGGGTACATTAATGTTGTTTAACTATACCTTTACCTATGCACCTAATTTTTAAAAAAATGAAAAATTTTAAAAAAAAAATCCAGATGATGAAGACAATGGATGACGACTGGGAAAAAAAACTTTCAGGTTATAGACTACTCTCTCAGCATTTGGCTCGAAAGTTCTTTCTTGTTGATTGCCTTTGATTTGCTGTTTTCGTTTGAGCTTACAAAAGTTTTACTCATACAAACATTTGTTCGCAAAAAATAACATATTCGAGATGAAAATTATCCACCTATGCTATGAGAGCAACAATAAAGTAAACCAGAAATAAAATTTTTGCTAAATTAGCCATTTCTTTGAAATCTAGGCAACCACCATGTATCTTCTTTTAAGAATCTAAATTATTCTAAACAATATTGCTTTAATATTTACAAGGATCAAACAATATAATAGATATCTTGTGAATAGTAAAAAAATATGAGTTTGTATTCTCCCTTACTTTTATGTTTAAAAACAAAATCAGGCATCGGAAACATTGTCTCTCAAAATAAGTAACAAAATAGTAGCATATTACCACCCAGAACTGTTCCTGAAAGAATTTTTCGTTTTTTTAAGCTTCTTTATTGAATCCCCATTCATACTATTAGTCTTGCATTCTAGAGGTTACATGGAAAAGCCACTTTGAATAGGGGTGTGAGATTAACTGTTTTTCTTTAATGCAGTGGAATGATGAAGAAAAAAAATATAATAATTAAAGGAATCTCAATAGCAGAGTAAGTTCTCAGGTAATGCATAAACTATCCATTGGAAAATTTAAATTTGTTATTCTTTCCATGGTCTCACATTAAAAATGATCTCACTTTTGTTTATATTAAGAACCTAATAATCAAACTCTTAAGGAGTTCTTCAGACAGCAGAACAGTCCAATACATTAGAATTAAAAAATATTATTAAAAAAAAAATTTCAACATGGTGGTAATTAACATTTAATAATAAATATTCCGAAATTTAGAGTATTTTAAAAACAACACAAATAAAAATGCTACTAACCCTAGATGCAACAACTAGAGAGCGCTTTCCTACTGGACAAAGTACTAAATACCACAAGGCAGCCATATCGTCTGGTACATCGACTAACCATTCCGAAAGCATTAACTGAAACAAAAATTGCTATTTAGAAAGCTAATTAAATGAAAATATTAATATTATGCAAGAAAAATATTTTAAACCAGAACCCAGCAACCAAATTTAAACTAATTATTCATGAATCTAATTTACAATCTATATTACTTAATGCATGATAAAATGAAATTAAAATTTTTATGTTTGATGTAATTGAGAGAATCAAGAGCGCAAAACCATACACATTAACAAAGAAAATAATAACTAATCTAGAAAAGTAAACTTCTTTAATACATTTAACAGTAATTTTTATTAAAAAAATATATGAATATACAGTTTGCCTGTAACAGTCAACTTTTGATATAATGACCCCTGTGCAACCCAACATTGTATAGTCAAAGAAGATAACCACTTTGGTCGTAACTAAAATGGAGGTTGGGATAGCTTGGTTGGTAGGGCACTGGGCCCATGTCCAAAAGTTCGTGGGTTCAATCCCTGCCAGCCGAAGACTCCCCGTGTAGTAAATGGCAATTGAAGTATGTTAAATCTGTCAAGTCGCAAAGTCCTTGATGTTCCCATAACAAATCAATACCTCTGGAGGTACTGACCCAGGAGTTTCCTTGTCTTCTGGATTGGTTCAAAATTATAAGGCTACGGAGTTGAATATTAGTAGCCATAAGCCCTAAATAGGGTCGGCTGTTCAACGATGGTTATAAGAAAAATATTAAAAAATGGACATAATAACGGGTCATTCCACATCAAATCATACAGGATTTTACAAAAATGGCACCCACCGTCTCAGATTTTGATGAAAATTTGTACATTTATAGAATTTTTGATGCTGATTTCAAAAATATCAATTATATTTAAATCAGTTAAGGGGTTTAAAAGTTATAAGCATTTAGATTTTTGCCAAAATGACACATTTGCCGCCAATTTTATTCATACATCAAAGGCTATTATTGATTGTAACTCCCCTTATATTTGTCATAGAGCAATAATTTTTTTTTATTTTGTTCAGAATAAAATAATCTGTCATTTAAACACATTTGTTTGCAAATAATTATCTTACTTATTTAGTAAATGGGTCTGTTTTGCAGTTTTTTGATCAACGGAGATGAGTAACTTCAGGAGCTGATTTCTGGCAACTCGCCCCCTTCAATTTCAAAAATATTTCAGGCAAAGATAGTTGAAAGTGCAAACTAACATCTGATATAAAAATTTTGATGGGCGGTTCACTCACTTTTTAAAAAAATATATTTTTCTTATGAATTATTATGCGTTAAAAGTATTGGTAGTTTGATGATTCATTGTCCTTAATTGTAATTGTAACTAGAGTATAATAAAATGAGAATGGTAGAAAAATATGTAAAATAAAGTAATAATTTATTAAATTATTTTTTTCTTCTTTATTTGAGCCCCCCCCCCCTTCAAGAAAGAAAAGGAAAAAATTTGAGAATGAACAAAATTTCACCTTTTTTGTAAATAAATTTATCCAGAATCATATAGCTTTGATAAATGAGAGTGATCAGAATCTAAAAAAGGATAAATAAAAGTTTCTCTAAAAGAGTAGAAGGCAATACCAAATAATAAAAAGCAGCCATTAAATTTTATTTTTAATTGAATTAACTTTCATCTTTATGGAAGGAGAAACACAGAATTTATGATGTTGAATAACATCAGAGAGAAAATCATTGTAAACTTTATTTTAATTCAAACATTTTGTTTGATTCTAAAATGTAATTCAAGACCAAATTATGAATATTTATAGTTAATTTTATCCTTTTATTTGTCACAATCAGGGTTGGCAAGGTTTAGGACAGAATGGATTAATCCACGGTTTAAACCGTCCTGTCCAAAACCCCTTTGTCCAAAACCCTTTTACTCAAATTATGTCAAAATTTTATCTGAACGATATTTAGAAGGTAAAATAAACATAGAATTAATAACATATTGATAATTAAATCTACTAGAGAATATTTGTTTTTAAAAATATAATGTTTTATTAATATTGTTTGACTCTTCAATTTAAACAATGAACAAAGGAAGATTAATCAGTAATCAAGTTCAATTGGTCCTCTCCTTCAATAGTACATAACTGAAGTTTGACCTTTGCCATATAGGTTAAGCTATTAGGGACTAAGTGCTTGGTTACTCATAAACAGGTTTATTTATCTATAAGAAGTACTATTCAAGAATACTTTTATTTCATTCAAGTTCGATTCTTTTAGCATAGTGGTGATACATCACCAATGTCAATAACTGAAACTGATATTATGCCCTTCAAAACTGTTAATACATTTTACAGTTATTTTGTATTTCCAATTTAAACTAATATATTCCTATTTAAAATAAATTTTTTTTTAAATAGATGTTTTTTTTTATCATCCTGTAATGCAGAAATTATAAAAAAATTTTAAAAAAATATTGTAAAAAATAAAAGGCTAATTTTTAAACAAATTTAGTATTTTCTAAAAAAATTCTTATTATTTAATATTGCATTATTTATCCTTATGCAAAAACATTATTTATCAGTATTAAAATCATATTTATATTCAAAGGGTTAGATATTGACTTTTGTTGTTCAATGAATTGTGGAGCTTAAAAAATTATAAACCTTTTCCTATTATATTATATTATTTTCCTTTAATAAGTTAAAGTAAATTGTATAAAAAATATCAAATATTTATTGATACAAGTAATTAAAATGTGTACAATGGTTACACCTATAGATTTTTTAACGTTTTCCAAAGTTCAAGGTTTTGAACACTTTAAGACAGTTTTATCCAGTTTAGGACAGTTTAAGACAGTAAAACCCACGTGTCCTGTCCAAAACCAGTTTAGGACGTCCAAAACCCCAACCCTGGTCACAATGATTGTCATGGTAATGAGATACTCCTAAAAAATTTCTTTTAAAACGCTGATAAAGCTCAAAATATTTATTTTCTATTTATTTTAATTATCTTGAAATGATTTTAAATCACCAACTATCTGATAATTTGTATGCTCTTATTTCATCACTAACACTTGCAGGCTTTTTTTATTCTGTAAGACTTTTATTATAATTAGATACATCCAAATTTTTTTTAAAAAAAAAAAACATCTGAATAGAAAAAAAAATACTAAAAACTATTGACACACTCCATTCCTACCTTCCCAAAAAAGAAATTTGACTAATCAGAATGTATCATTTGCCTGAACATTTCTGTTTGTTCCAATCAGAATTGAGTCTCATGTAAAATTTATTTTCTTTAAAATCAATAAAATGGTATTTCCATTAATTTAGAACAGAATAGAAATAAGTTTTCAAAAATTTTGTATGTATCAATTTGGTATTTAAAGAAGAGTTTTATTATGGAAACCCAAGTATTATGCAGTATTGGATTAACTTTGAAAGATTTTAAATGCAGTTTAAACTCGCAGAAGATTTTGGAACTTTCTTTTGAGAACATAGAACTTATTTTATTAAGGAGCAATTTAAATTTTAAGGAAAGTTCAACTATATGCCTCATACATGAGGAGCATATCTTGTATCAGTATGAAATATTTATATATATATAAAAAATAAAAAAACGTTACGACTTATTTAATTTTCCTTCCAATAAGACCAAGAAAGTCTCCCTTCATGTCATAAGTGTAGATCAAGCTAAAACATATAGAGCTAAATTGCAAATTTCAGCGATTCCTGGCCAGAAATTGTGTTCGTGATGCAGAAATTGTGTTTGTCTTGTTCATTCTCAAATTTCTTCTTTTCTTTTTTGAGGGGGGGGGGCTCAAAGAAAGAAGAAAAAATATAATTTAATAAATGATCACTTTGTTTTTCATCATAATCTACCATTCAAATTTTTTTACATCATTTTATTATACTCAAGTTACAATTACAATTAAGGACTATAAATCTTCAAACTATACCAGTACTTTTAATGCATAATAATTCATAAGAAAAATATTTTTTTTTAAAAAGTGAGTGAACCGCCCATCAAAATTTTTATATCAGATGCTAGTTTGCACTTTCAACTATCTTTGCCTAAAATATTTTTGAAATTGAAGGGGGCGAGTTGCCAGAAATCAGCTCCTGAAGTTACTCAACTCCGTTGATCAAAAAACTGCAAAACAGACCCATTTACTAATTAAGTAAGATAATTATTTGCATACAAATGTGTTTAAATGACAGATTAATTTATTCTGAACAAAATAAAAAAAAATTATTGCTCTATGACAAATATAAGGTGAGTTACAATCAATAATAGCCTTTGATGTGTGAATCAAAATGGTGGCAAATGTGCCATTTTGGCAAAAATATAAATGCTTATAACTTTTAAACCCCTTAACTGATTTAAATATAATTGATATTTTTGAAATCAGCATCAAAAATTCTATAAGTGTACGAAATTTCATCAAAATCTGAGACGGTGGGTGCCATGGCTGGATGAACTGACATGGAATGACCCTAACATTAGATTGTTAAATGGTGAGTACATAAAATTAGTGCAAATATTCACTTATATTTCATAAATACTATACTTTTTTTTTACAAAAACATGCTACTCTTTAAATTGAATTACGAAGGTGACGAATACACATTTTCTTTTATGTCAATAAAGTTATTTAATATAGCACATTAGAGGTCAAAAATAATTTAAATTTCTTCAAAAGAAGTCTTTTAAAACTGTACAAAAGCTTCAGCCAGACACTAAGTGCTTTTTCCAGATTTTGAAATTTTGCTTTACGAGAGCAATGTTATGAAATTGAAACACATTTTGTTCTTCTGCCTTTAGAATTGCATCATGATTTTTAACTAATGTAAACAAGGGACTTTTCAACATCTTGAATAATCTAGCTATTTGTGATTTTGATGTTATTCTTCCACCCACTTCCCTTAAAATTATAAATTCCATTTTTCGCATATAGTGTTACACTGGTTACGATCAGCCATTTTCGCTACATAACATATGTCCAGAAAATTGAGCAAAATTAAAATCAAGAATAATGTGAATTATATGTGTTTAAACTCCAAAATGAACCACCTCTCACATCAGTTTACAAAATGAGTGAATAAGATATTTAAACAAGAGAATAAACTTCAAATTCTCAACAATAGTAAGAAATCAATATTTCACAATCTTTTTTATCATAGAATACGTTTAGGACCTCCGAGATTGAGAATAGATGGTCTTGTCACTCTTCCTTCATTCATAGAGAATTCAAGATGTTTCATGTTTATTGAGCAATGAAATTAAAAGAAATAGTGGTTTGAACAATTTTCCCGAGACTTGACTCACTGAAAAGAAATTTTTAAAAGGTTATGGTTATACATACTGCTATACGACACTCATACTTCCTGTGCTACTTTATGGAAGTGAAACTTGGACCCTAAATTCAGATATACAGCGGACTCTAGGCACCTTTGAAAAAAATATCCTCAGAGCCATCTTTGGCGCAATTCAAGAAAGGAGATGCTGGGGAACCAGATATAATTTCCAGCTTTACCGACTCTACAAGCAGTCCCAAATTTCACAAATAATTTGCAGTAATATGCTGAGATGGCTGGGCCATCTATGGAAAAGCCCTGAAAATAGCGCCATGAAAATAATCACCTTTAAGAACCCCGAGGGGTCACATCCCAGAGGCAGACCCCCCTACTAGATGGCTCAACGAGATCAAAATGATTTGAAAACCCTAAAGATAATTGGAAGGGAGTTGCCATGGATAGGAGGCGCAGGCGTTTGTCAGCTGTTGAGGCAGCCAAGGGCTACAGGGGGTTGCTGCACTGACAAAGAAGAGAAGAAGAATATGATTATACACGAAACTCTTCTTTCTAAATGACTGCGCAAAATAAATTTTCAATTCTCAATAATGGTAAATATTTGATATTTCACAATATTTTTTATCATAGAATTGGATCAGCACCTCCTAGATAGAGAATAGATGGTCTTATCCAGGGCGATTTTGGTACCGTTTTTCGGTACCTTCACAAAATTTTTTTAAAAAAATCGGTACCTTCACAAAATTAAAAAAAAATATATCGGTACCTTCACAAAAAAAAACTCATCTTCACGAAAATAAAAAAGAAAGTTAGAAGGAATTAAAGTGCTGAATAGTTTTCCGAGCGGTTCACGGAAAAGTGGATTCACAGTGAACGCCGTATGGTACGCCATCGGACGGCGTTCTGCGCAACCGCACTAGCTCGAAAAGGCTTGATATGCTGACGTCACTTCTCCTAAATACGCCATTCAATCGGAGTGAGTGGTGAAGTTTTTATACTAGGCAACCGGCTAAATTGAGCCAGCGCGTAAACAACTAAACTCATTTTCCCAGGTGACCAGTGTTTTTGTTATGATTTAGCGTCAAACGTGTTCCATTCGTATTTTTTAACAAGATTTATGAAAAGTTTTTATAATGAAGCGAGGAAGAAATTTAAGTGGAGCGGGTGGCTCACGGAATAGCGATTATTACATGAAGCGTTTACGCACGATCGATAGTGTAGGAACGAATCAATTAAAACATTTTTTCAGTCTGAAAAAACTGAGGAGAAACTGTCACAACAGTCGCCATCTGAAAAAACCGTAACAGTTGACAACGAGGCACAGTGCATTGAAAATGCTACGGAACCAATGATTGAAGAGTTACATGATTGTTTTGTTACAGAAAAAAGCGATGCTGTTCCTGCGATAGAGGAAAATGTCGAAAGCGAAGTCAATTTCATCAGTAGCAAAAAGCCTGAAAACATCGATAAGGAAAATAAATTAACCAATGTCACAAAGTATGAAAAATGTAAAGAATGGATTTACTATAGTCCTTCAGCTGGAGGGTTTTTATGCAGAGTGTGCTCTGTTGTAAATAATAAAGGACCTTGGATAACTGAAGGGGTAAATTTTCTTGGGCATCCAACTAGATGCATGAAGAAACATGAAGACAGTAGAATGCATATTAATGCAACAAGCAGTATCAATTCAGTTAAAAAATTCAATGTTTCAGAGCAAATTCAAAAAGGAGCCGAAAATGATAAAGAAAAAAATAACATTGTAATGAAGAAATTTGTTAAAGTTTTAAACTTTATGGTACAAAAGCAATGGGCTGTTTTAGAAAATTTTGAGAGTTTAATACAATTTTTGGGCAATGATCTTCAAGATACAGACATTAGGAGACACTTAGAAACTTGTGCAAAAAATGCAACATATTTATCACGAGTTTCTGTACAAAACCTTTTGGAATGTATTTCCGAATACATTGAAGAAAGTATGTTATCACAATTAAAAGTGTGTGATGCTTTTGCTTTGTTTGCAGATGAAAGCATGGACAAAGCACAAAGAGAGCAACTAGGCTTATTAGCCAGATTTAAAGTTCCTAATGGAAAAGTTCAAGAGAATTTTTTAGGACTTATAAATTTAGCAGCTACTGATGCTGCAACTATAATGAGCACNCTGAGATGCAGCATTTCACAGAAGTCTTTAAATTGTCATCTAAACATAATTTTCAATGGATCCAAATTATTATCTGATGAACAGGCTCAAAACATAATTACTATCTTTAAAAATACTGAAAATCGCAAAATATCTCTGTGATTGATATAATTTTATCTATGTATTCTGTATTTTTATTATTTTTTCAACCATTAATTCAAAAGTAAAGTTAACATAATATCAAAATAATAATTTCTTATATTAAGTTCAATAAATTTTATTAGTAAATAAGTTTAAAAATTTCGATGCTGGCTGGCTGTATAAATTACATTGAATTAATAAATGGAATTAATCTGCAAGCTGTCTTATAAGCAATTCCTTGCGCAATATGTGTATGTTTTTTATAGTATTGTACTTTTTGTATACATATGTAGTTTTTTTTTAGCAATACTTAATTTTCACAAAAATAAAAAAAAATTTCACAAAAATAGGTACTAGGATTGAAAACCTGGATTAAGCCCTGTTATCACTCTTCCTCATAGAGAATTCAAGATGTTTCATGTTTATTGAGCGATATTTAAAAAAATTGTGGTTTGAACAATTTTTCCCAAGACTTTTCTAAGCATTGACTTGACTGATTGACCTGTTGTCAACAAGAAAATGTATAAAAATTATTAGACCTGATCTTTATAATATCTTGGAGGCTTTATGCTGATTTCCTCACATTCCATGCCGTCATTCTCTTTGTCTTCAGTTTCCTCCTCTTCACCCCACTCATCAGTAGCTAGTTTTCTAGCATGGCTGGCATAGTCATAACGTTTCCTGAGAAGCAAGGAATTAGAAATAGTCAACCACAAAAAACAAATAGTGTAAATAATTATTATTTAGTAAGTGAAAGTAAGAAGTAAATTGGTTGCTTTTTTATTTAATAAAGCCCTCTCCCAACTGATAATGAACACCTAAACGAGAAAAAAATTAAAAATAATTTAATGTTTTGCATTTTAAGAAACAGTTTAATGAAATGGTTTATTACAAAATACCTATATAATTTCGCTTATGTTAATTATATAGCAAGTGAGTCACTTATCAAAACCTGCTAAATATTAATAAATCAATATTATTTATAAAAAATATTAGTTATGGCCTAATTGATGTGTAATAAAAGCCTATGTTTAAAAAAGTTTATTATATTATATTATAAAAGTTTAATGAAAGTTCCATTTCTTCACTGAGAGGTTTAATTTGGTTTCAATTACTTTATTACCTTTTAAATGTTTTTACTCTTATCTAGAAATTATTAACTCGGGCAACAACAAAAAAATTTTAAAAAATGCTAACAGCTGTTTTGATGAATTATGGAAAATTGTGTAAATAATACATATGACAAACTTAAAGAAAGTCTTACTAATTAGGATTTCTTTTTAAAAATTAATATATTACACAATTGGGTAAGAACAAAATACAATTAAAAAAATTATTTTAAGTATTTTCTTCCTAAAACTATATAGTAAGCAAGTTTTATTAAGGGACTACTCACATATTATATAATCAATAATAAACAAAATTATTTAAATACTTTATAATAAACCATTTTATAATAAACCATTTCATAACAATATTATACAGATGGAAAATAATAGTACTCCATAGAGTAAAGTGTAGAAAATTTGAAGCGTTACTCTCGACCTGTAACAGGCTGTAGTACTCAAAATTTCATGACGATACAAAACATAGGTTTTTATTACACACCAATTAGGCCATAACTAATATTTTTAATAAATAATACTGGTTAATAACATAAGGCAGAGTTAATATATTTAATAGTATTTAAATAATGTTCTAATTGTTTATTTTTAAGGCCATTAGTTATAGGAGAAAAATATTTGAGTTTACTAATAGTTTTAAAAAAATATATTTTTTTATTGGATGGCACTCAACCTGTTTTAAAATACTCCTGATTTGCCTCTCTATCTCAGAGAGGATCACAGAGTAACAAGAACCTCTTCCCCTCAAAAAAGTACACAAAAAAAAAAATTTCCTCCTAACATGAGTTGTTGATTAGAATTGATTAGGAAAGAAACTTATTAGGTAGTTGATTAGAAACTATTCAAGAGCATTTGATTCATTTTTGATGCTTTGGAGGTCAAAAATTAAATGACAGAAAGAATCTTACAAAAATATTTGTCTGGAAATTATAGAGCCCGACATAAGGGATCCAATGATCTGCTTATGCACCATAGCATATCAAGTAAGTAAAATATTGTAAATGCAAGGCAAAAAATAAGTTATGATGCATCTCTTAAAACTTGTAATTCTCCAGCGCAGGAAAGAAAAAGTACAACAGATTTATTTATACAGGCAAAATTATAAACAAACTCTTATAAAAAATTATTTTCTTCTTTATTAGTAGCTGAAAGAGAAAGAATAATTCTGAGTACCAAATTACATAGTTCCTTTATTTGATGCAGGTGTTTGATTAGTTCTAATTAAAAGCCTTAATTGTTCAAATTTAAATCTTCTGGTTCCAAAATTCTTTGTTAGTTCCATCAATGACTAAAAGAATTATGAATATGAATACTAATAGAACAATAAAGAGGTAGAGCATTCATATTTCAAATAGTATGGAAGTTCTTGGAGTTATGTAGTTTCCAAAGACTAATGAACTCACTGGGCTCATCTAATTTTCCTCATTCTTTAAACTTTATCACCACAGAAGCTCAAAATTCAATGAAATATGATGAATGTCCAGTTGTCACTCAGTCAAACTGACAACTAGAACATTTTTCCTACTAGCAGATGACATTTATACCTACTTATAATAAAATTATTAAACAAATTTAGGACAAAAATATAATTTTGGGCAGATTATTTTAATGATCAATTCAATATTAAACTTACTGCTTTTGGGCCTCTAAGAATTTTCTTCTCCTCTCATCTTGACTAGACAAACGGTTCTTAGCCTTATAAAGTGCAAATCGGGGATGTTCAGCAGCAGTAGAATTCGGATCGGTAGTCACTTGTGACACAGCAAAGGCTTCAATTAAATCCTCCATATTACTTCTAACACTAAAAAAGAAACATTTGTATGATTTACATGCAATTTTATTTTGAAAAAATTACGATAAATACATTTAAATAATGAATCATAAAAATATTTCAGACTAATTCTTATAGTATAATAATTTTCATACAGACTTCGTGAGAATTTTTTTCTAAAAAAAAAATTTTTGTCCTGAATTATAAAGGTGCAACCAAAAAATTTTCAAGAGTTTATGAAATAAAAACTAATATATGAACAAATCAATTAATAACTGATATAAGTTACATTTACAAAGTAGTGTCATATAATGTGACACTTTCATTACTTAGTTTCATTTACTGATATTTTAATATATTTAGGCATATTTTTTATTATTAAATCTTTAAAACATAAATAACACGAACAAAGGGCAGTAAATAAAGAATTAACATAACAGTGAATTACTTAATAAGAAATTATATTAAATAAGTAAAATGTTTTTCATAATAATGTTGAGCAAAGGAGCTTCTACTATAATGAGATTAAGGAGAGAAGTTAATTTAGTTTAAAAAGAGAAGCCACACAAATTAACTTTGACTTTTTTTTTATTTATCGTTTCTTCGGGAAATACTGCAAAACAATTTTATTGAAACTTAAAAAAAATTTCTTAAATATCTCAATTCAATGAAAAACTCGGTAAAAGCCGAAGCAGCAATCTGGATACGTGATTATTAAAAACAAATCATAAAGAATTACTAGAATGAAGATCATCAAGGATATTACTTCATAAGATAAAAAAAAATTTGGTTTTTCAAACAACAATTAATATATTTCGAATTTATATTGCTAGCCTAGACTGTAAGACATTTTAAAGTAGAAATGATGAGTTCGAATATAATATTTTGTTTTGGTTTTAAATGGAGCCGGAGAAATCTCATGAAACGTATGAACCGTTTAAACTGAAGCACTTTTATAGTTTCTTTTATAAGCAGTTTTTACATAAAGAGCCTGATATAATTCATTCCATCCGAGCATTGCATTGTTCAAGTTTTTATTTACGAATGCATGGTGAATTTACTAAAAAATTAAGATTATATATTACTTGATATCGAAATCATAAATAAAGAAAAGTTATAAATAAATTATTCTTATTTATTCACAGTCTGAATTTAATGATTTAAATAATATTATATTAAACACAAGACATTCACTTTCTTGTTCTTAAATAGAATATTAAAAATTTTGTTATCTTACTAACTTTAACTGTATCCAGTATGCAAAAATAATATTGCTGGCTGAATCTAAACATCAGATCAGTCTGCGTAATTTATTGGATTATTTAAATAGAACTATAATTACTGTGAAAAAATTAGATAGAATTTGTTATTTTTATGTAAATTTATCTGTCGTATATCGCTTTGGAACAGGAAGATGACAACTCTAAAGGGTCGTCAAAAAGATATATGGTGTGCTACTGAACATTTGTTTATGTAGTATTAAAATGCTTTGACAGCTATTTAAATTAATAATTAACATTGCGCAAAAATATATTAATGTGCTCTGCATTGTTGCAGTGACTTTTTTGTAAATGTATTGATTAGCGTTTTTCATATTATACACGCACTTATTGTGCTGATCAAATCAAAAGAAAGAAATAAAGAAAACACAGACTACATTATGTGATTCTCATTTTATAGCTTTTTGAATTAAATATCGCAAAGTAACTGACCGTTGTGTCATAAAACCTTTAAGCTTTATTGTTTTAATATATTTCTAAAATCTAAATAATTCATTTTGCACTTGTATGTCAATGAACAAGAAAGTTGAAAACATCCATTTACCTGAGCCTTGAGTATGTTATGGATTCCCTAAATATTACCAAAATTGATTTTAAAGGAGACATCAGTGCCTAAACTACAGGAAATTAGAGATTTTTTCAGTTTTAATTGTGTTAATTGTTTTCATATGCTTGAAAATGACTTATCATATCAACACTGTTTATCTGGACAATGTTTAACACAGTTGTTTTGAAAATATAACAAGTTTGCATTTATATATTGAGGATAAAAACTACAAATATGCCACACTATGTGGTGATAAATGTAGAAAAAGTATAAATTATATTAGTTCAGTAACTATCTCTGCTTAATGTGTGCCTTTAATTATCAATACTCTTTTTAACTGTAATGCATGGCAAAGTGTAAAAAATATATAATAAAAATTTTTTTAAATTATATTATTGATATGAATATACGACACTGATTATTTTCTAATTTATTATTGTTTAATAAAAGCATAATTTATAATAATTTTAATTTATATAACTAATTTACTTACTTTTTGGACAAATCATGAAATCAGTTCAGTGATTAATTCATTTTACATTAATTGAGCTACATTATATAATAAAACTTAGTAAAGTAAATTCATTACAAAACTTTTTTTAAATTCTTAGTATTTTCATTAGTATCATATAATAAGACTTAGGAAAATAAATTAATTATTTAATAACTAAGCCTTTTTTAATTCTGAAATATTGCATTTTCAAAACTGAAGAAAAGCCTTTGCAACTGTGTATTCTAACACCGATGATTTAAATTAAGATTGTGCTTATCATTTGCATTTTTTTTTCATTTATTTAATTTTTTTAAGTTATGAATGAGTATAATGTGATATTGTTATTAACCTTATTAAAAAAAATTCCATCTTTTATATAACTTTAAAAACATTTTTTATTATGTTTTTCTCAAAATTATCATTTCTCTTCTTAAAAATGGGGCAAATCATCTTTACTCCTAGATTTTATTTTTCTTTAAATTAAGAATGCAGTAGATTATTAAATTTATGTTCTTCAATAATTTGATTTTTTCAGTTATTTATTCATGATAGTTTTATCCTAGTAAAATTGAGTTTTCAAGATCCTATTATAGTTTTGATTTTAATTTTTTTTCAAGTAGATCCAAGAAAGATCAATGTGCAAATCAGAGTGTTTATAGTTTTTTTTAAAGAAATAGATGGTTTTTCTTTTATCTGTAGAGTCTATGATGTAAATAACCAGTTTTATGAAATTGTGTTAATGGAATAATACCTAGTTTAGTATCTATTTTTTCACAGTAAATAATTTAGTTGCATTAAAATTGGCTCTTTTATTTTAGAAAAAATTTATCCTTTTACATTGTTTGAAACCAACATCCTGACAAAATGTCTCAAAGAGTAAGAATACATTCTTCATTCAATTTATTTTTCTTGACCTAGCTGTTAAGCTATTTATATTTATTTATGTATTGTTCGAAGCATAATTGCTTTCAAACCTTCATTGCATTATAATTAGTTTATATTTCTACATTTGTAAACAAATACATCTCACAAAATGTTTGTAATTTATTAAAACCTAATTCATTTGAAAAATTATATTTTAATAGTTAACATTAGAGATGTAACGAATATTCGACCACTATTCGGTATTCGGCCCTTTTGCCGAATATTCGGCCTAGCCGAATACTGAAGTTATTCGGCCGAATAATGAAGTATATGCTATTATTAATTATTTAGATTTGTGAAAGCCTTATTGTTGGCATCAAGATATTTAAAATATTACAAAAAATACATCAAGTTGTTAAATTTTTTTTAAAATATAGAAAGTTTAAAAAAGCAAATTTGTTAATATTTATTTCATTTTTAATTTAAAATTTGAAAATTATTTAATTACAAAATTAAAATTTCAAAAGTGAAACTTTTTAAAAAGTTCTTAATTTTCTGAGTTTTAATAATTTTTCTGACAAAAAAGAAAGTTAAGAATACATTTAACAGTAGTAATGAGTTCTTATTTTAAATAAAATAGCATATAAATTACAAGTATAACTATAACTAAAATATGCTATTATTAATTATTTAGATTTATAAAAGCCATATTGCCTTGTTATTGGCATCAAGATATTTAAATTATTACAAAAAATAAATAAAGTTGTTAAAATTTTTCAAATATACAAAGATTAAAAAAGCAATTTTGTTAATATTTAAATTTTTAATTTAAAATTTGAAAATTACTTTAATTATAATCAAAAGAGAAATTTTTAAAAAGTAAGTATTCGGCCACCGAATATTCGGTATTCGGCCTAAAATTTGGCCGAATATTCGGCCCCATCACTATTCGTTACATCACTAGTTAACATTTCCTTTAATAGTTAATAACATTTCCTTTAATATATGGTTTTAAAGTTTATAAAAAAGAGAAATACTGTTTTGAATCTTGTCCTTTTTTCATGTGTTCAGATGCTTAACCATGTTTTTAGCACTAAACATACCAACACTTAATATATACCTACCGGTCGCGTGACCGGACATTATGTTTCTTGATTGAATGTATGAAATGTGGATGTTATGAAGGAAATAAACTAAAAAAAACTTAATTATAATTGAACAAAATTTTATATTTGTACATTGTCAGTTTTTATGTATAACAAACACAAAGAATAAGAATTTTTAATTCATTACTCAACGAATTTTTTACATATACAGGGTGTTTCCATTGTACATTTTCTGCAAACATATTTCTTCTAATTATTAGTATTTCTATACTTCTTATAATTATAAGAATATATATGAGAATTATAATTCTGATAGTTATTCTAATAATTAATATTATTTCTTCGAAAAACTTGTGCTGTCTTGATTGTTTCGACATTTTTCTGGGTAAAAACTAACACACAGTTCACAGTTATTCTGATTGAAGTAACAACGGAACAGTCTTTGCAGAAATATGTAACTAATCGAATGCAATACGTTGAACACGCATTGCATTGTAATTTCAGATCCGATAACCTTATAAAGCAATAAATTGTTCACCCGGTCAAATGACCGGTTGTGGTAGAAATAGGTATACGACGAATATTATTTGAAACAAACAAAATACGAAAAAATAATAATAGAATATTATCTGTATATAATTGTTAGAAAAAGTCATGAAGTCAAATGTGCAAAAACGATAAGATATTTTCGATCCCAAAGTTCTTAAACGGTCATTTGACCAGTTTTGGTATGTTTAGTGTTAATGGTTAGTATGAAAATATTGCATTAAATCTGGTAATATTAAAAAGAAATATTGGTGTTTCAAAAAACCCTTATAAAAATTTTTATTTAGCAATTTACATCAACATGCTATGTAATGAATCAAAGATGTAACATGTAATTGAAAAGATAAAACTTCACTCATGATAATTTACAGGGTTGGCAACCAGGGACAGAAGTCATTGCTCGCTATAGTTTCAAGGGTAGCTCTGAAGAAGATTTAGTTTTTCAAAAAGGGGACATCATGACAATAGTTACTCCAACAAAAGTAAGTATTACTTTATGCTATCTTTTCTGTAGGTATATTTTCATACTTATGAATTCTATGTTCTTTTATTTGAATGCATATTGTATATTTTTCAAAACATAGAAAGTTTTTTTTTTGAAAACTAGTTTAAAATGGATATTTAATTATTATTCATTTATATTAAAAAATTTCACAGAATTGGTTACTTTATCTTTTAAGAGAAAAGTCTATTTGCTTATACCTTACCTGATTATTATTAATCCTTTGTATAATCTGCTAGTAATATTTGTTCTATTAATCTGCTTTTATTTTTAAAGCCATTAATATAATAATTTGAATGAAATTCAGCATAATGCAAGAATAGAATTAAAAAAAGAATCTCCTATGCTCAGCTTAGCCTTACGCAATTACAGTTTTCATAATTTAGCTAATACGTAGTTAAAGTACAGTTTTCATAATTGAAATATAGAAAAATAATTGGTAAAAACTGAAACTAAGTATTTAAAAAAAAAAAAAAAATTTCTCTGTTATTATTATGAACTAAATGTATTAATTTATTATTTTATTTTTATTTTAAACAAATATTATTTCAACTTAAAAATAATAATTGGCAGTATCTTGTTAAAGATTGCTTTTTTCATGGAATATGATCATATCTACAGTTACAAAAGTTAAAATTATATTTTGTTATTATTTTTTTTTTATTCTAAAGGCATAACTTCTCAAAAAGAGATGCAATCAAAAATTAATTTTCATTTAATTTTTCGAAATATACAGCCTTTCTTTATTTTATGTTTAACTATCTATGATCCTTAGGATCCTAATTGGTATAAAGCTAGACATGGGGATTGCCGTGAAGGACTCATTCCTGCTAATTACATTCAGAAACGTTCTGAAGTAAAACTAAATGCTATGCCGTGAGTATTTATTTATTTTTTTATTATAATTTTTTGTATTTATTTAAAATTATTTATGTTTCTCAGTAGATTTTAAAAATGGACTGTACTACTTTAATCCAATGTAAAGAAAATTTACAGACTGTTGAAAATTTTGTATCTGAAATATCAAAATTTTTACAAGTCCTCAAACAAAACTTTAGATACGGAACTACCTGAAAAAAAATGTTCATGATTTTCTTTTTGGAATTGAATTGTGTTTCTTCATTTAATAACTTGGAGAAATAGTAGTTTGTAGTGTAAGAAAACAGCCAGATATCACCTTAAACTGAATTCTAAATTATCAGTTATATTATTTACATTTTTAAAAGAAGCAAAATATTTGTCAGAATTACAAAACAAAACTGACTAATATTTTTTATATGATGCACATTTTATATTTAGCATTTTGTGTTTAGTGCATGAGTCTTTTTAGAAAATAATTTGGTTCCCTTAACAAACCCTTCATAAAAGATTATATTAAGTAAATGGATTCTTCATATAATGAAACCTATTCAATAAACTAAATTAGCTCTAAAATTTTTAAAAATCTATTCAGTGTTTCATTAATGTTTGCCATTTTAAAGTGTTCTGCGCTATAACATCCAACTGTTTTTGAATTATGTACCTTAGGATTGTTAATATAATTATTCAATTTAATTTATTAATTTTTCTCTGAAAATATTTATAATGAAAAATTGTAATGTAATTTAAATCATGCTAGAACACAAGTAACATAGTTTGACTGTTTTTAATACACTCTTACTACAGCTGGTTTCATGGGAAAATTACACGTGAAGAAGCAGAAATACTTTTACAACCTAGAGAGGATGGACTGTTTCTTGTTAGAGAAAGCACTAACTTCCCTGGAGACTATACACTCTGTGTTTGTTATAAAAGTAAAGTGGAACATTACAGAGTTATTTATAAAGAAAACAAATTAACCATTGACGAAGAAGAATATTTTGAAAATTTGTCAAGACTTGTAGAGGTAATTTCGATCTATTGATCTATTTTTTATAATTAGTAATCTAACACAGGACTACAATATTCAAGGTTCTTAATTTTTTACCGAAAAATTTTTTATTATAAATAATTTGTGCATTTTATAAATCAATTTTAAATCTGAAAAGTGCTCTTATTTTGAAAATTCCATATACTATAATTATATTATGCCCACTTAATTATTTTATAACCCACATAATTTTATGTTGTCGCAAATCAGATTATACATAAATCAGAGCTCATTCTAGGCAGGGTAAACAGGCATCACCCTGCTGCCCTTTTACTCAAAAGAATCCACCCTGTTGCCCCTGATGTAATAGACTCTAAACCCTTTCTTTCCTCAATCCTTCTTTATTTTTTCTCCAAACTGTACAATGGATTTCTTAAATTTTCAACTATTTTTATTTAGTTTGTCATTGCTGTCAATACATAGATTTATATGGGAAAGGAAAAATAGCCGTCACACTCCCTTGTTGCACTTATCTTTGAAAGTTTGCAGTTGCTTACGCTATCATTAAATCTTAATTATTATTAATCATTTTAATTATTGAATCATAACTACAGACACTTAAAAACATACATTTATTATTTTATTAATATATGCATGCATTTTAAATAAATTACTAAACTAATTAGCTCAATAACTTGATATATATGCTAATTAAATAATAAAAATTAGTAAATAATATGATTGCTTTGCTACTGTTAGTAAAGTAAAAAAAAAAAGAAATTCTTTCACTAATTGACAATGTTTTTTCATAGAACGTGTGAAGTCCATAGAAATAAATTATTGCCTTTTTAGAGTAATAATGATCTTTTTTTAAAATCTTGCACCCTGCCCTTTTTTCTGCCTAGAATGAGCTCTACATAAATTTATTACTCAAATGTGAAATTTCAAATTCTGCTGTAGTAAAAGTATGGTATTTAAAATATCAAAACTTCATAAAATATGTCAAAACTATTGTAATAAGTGCCATGCCGGAAAAAAATTGGAAAATGACATTGATTTGTAATGGTATAGCTGTGAATATAGTGCGTCAAAAGTTTTTTATTCAAATTTAAAATTTGTGTGTAGTTATAAAACCACTTTAAAAATATTTTTATGTGGAAATATTTTTGTGTGTAATAATCAGTCTGAAAATAATTTAAATTAACGATGAAATTTTCACAAAACAAAATGTGATTACTCAAATTCGAAACTTCGGTGTTGCAAATTACATCAGAAGAATAGAAATTTGATAAACTTTGGTGAAATAGTGTGAATTTACGACAGAATTGTCCGAAATTAAACACTTTTTAAAAAGGATAATTTAAATTAGAACTTTAGTGGTCGCAGTATCATAGTAGAAGTATAAATATATAATATTGTTAATATAAATATTTAAAACTATCGGAGCTTGAGAAACCTTATAGAGACTGTAAAAAAAACGATAACTATCAAAAAATGATGGAAAAACTATGCAGATTTATATCAGAATCGACGTGAAACAACTGTGTCACAAAATGATTTGCAGTGTAATAGTCTAATCAAAAGTTTTTGTAACATTGCAATTAAATATGGGGATTTTAAAAATTATGTTGAAATAAACAAGAAAGCGTTATAGAAAACTACCAATAAAATTATCAGAAAACCCGGAATTAAGATATAATTGTCGTGAATCAAGCTTCTTAGAGTTATCACCGATTAAATTTTGAAATACAGTTATTACAAGTCATAACTGAAATTCAAAATTTTTGTGTTATAATTACCTCATTAAAAATTTCAGAATTTAAAATATTACGGTGAAAGGAAAGAAAAAATGATAGAAAAACCAGGTCATTAGAGGTCACTAGAAATTTTCTACTTGCTATGACAAAATCATCTCCTGGACAACAATCTGAAATTTTGTTACATAAATAAATCACATATACAGGCCTAGGCAACATTGTCAATTGTAAAATAATTCTGTTTAAATTACTAGTTGTTGTCTTAGTATCCTCTTCAAATTCTGATTATGCATTGTAACTTATAATATATTTTTGTCAGATAATAGTTTCAAACCTCTATATAATAAATATTCATATCAATAAAACAGTAATTTTCATTAATATTTATTAAAATTTTGTAAAGATATTAAGCTATAATATATATTTCTAATGGTAGCATTATCAGAATGATGCTGATGGCTTATGCACCAGGTTAGAACAATCTGTTCCAAAGAAAGGGGGTCCAGAACTATCTGTTGATTCACAAGAGTTCGAAAAAGCTGGTTGGACTATAAAACTAGAAGACTTAAAACTCGGTGAAGTTATTGGAAAAGGAGAATTTGGTGGTATTTGCATTTCTTCTTTCATTATTATACACATATATACAGAGCCTACAAAAAAAGAATATTAGGATATTTTATAAAGTATATAAATAAATATATATATATGGCTTAATTCAAAATCAACTTTTGTCAAAATTTCAGAAACTTTAGAATCAGATTAATTGTAAAATAAATATACTGTTTTGAATGTATTAGACATATAAGAGTGTGTCTAGCTATTTGTAATTGAAGATGGCTATTTATTTATTATCCTATCATCGTGCTTTTATATCATGTAAACTTGAAAAATCATTATTTTAGTCTTAGTAAACAAAAAACAATTTTCATAGATGCCAACTTTACTGGATTTTCCAGTAGACTGCTGAATTTTTCCAATTTCTCCAGGTGTACTGGTTTAATTAAAATTCTTCTGGTTTTTGCACATTTTAGAAAATTCCCTAAATTTGAGTTAAATTCCCTATTGAAATAGAATTTTTGTACTGATTATTACTTGAATATTTAAATAAGTATTACTAATACATAATGAAATGAACCTCATTTTAACCTTAACCCTTTCGCGACGGGAAGCGCAACTGCGCTCTTATCGCTGAGGCCGGCAGTCTCTCTCGCGAGTGTCTCTCCAGGGCCGAAAGGTTTTTTGCTGTTAAGCCTACATCCATGAAATGACTGAAATATCAATGTGTTGTTTAATAATGTTCTGTAGAGTGTTTAAATGGCATATGCTTTATATATATTTCTGTAGATACTTTATTTACTTAAGTCATTTCTTGTTTAAATATATATTTTACACATTTTATTTTCTTTATGTACTTACCATTTAATAACTTTTAACATTATATATCTGAAAACCAAATGTATGACTTAAAATTCTTTTTTCGTATGAAAAAATTCAAAACACTAACATTGCACTAAAAATTGGACCTGTCATAAAACATTTCCTTCTCCTCCATTCCTTCCCCCTAAAAACCACGTGTATGTGAATCATATTACTCTTATTTTGAGTAGAAGGTCAAATCTACATGTATCTGAAACCATATGGACATACAATGTCACCTTCTGGCAGAAATTTTATTTTTTTAAACGTACCAGGACACTGGCACAAAAGAGTGACGGCCGGGGGTGAACGAGAAAACGCTCTGTCACACCGGTGTGTCTGACGGGAAGTGAGTGTGTTTCTTGCTGGCACATATATGTGACAGTTGTCGCGAAAGGGTTACACCAGTTCAAAACTTTTTTTATTCTAACATTTTCATTTCATTTTTATTCAGAACTCAGTTTTTAAATTAATTTTAAAAAATTTAACTATCTTTGATGAATTAAATGCATTTTAATATTCGAAATTATGAGTATATATAATACATAGCATTTTAAGCATGGTTAATGTCCATCATAACTGGAAAATATTGCAATTTTTCAGTTTTGATGACTATAAAAATCCCTAAAATTCCCTATGTGTAAAATATATAGTACATTATGCAACAATTATCATGAAATTTATATTATTTCGTAAAATCGACTGGAGTTTTTCCTTTTCATATTGGCAGGTATGATAATAGATAATAAAATAACTAATTTATAATTGTAATTAAAATTATTATGCATGATTTAATTATAATATGTTAATATTGATATAATAGTGCAATGAATTTGATATATTTAAAAAATTTTATACATTAATTAGATGCTTTTGTTAAAGTTTCCAAACATGTAAGATAAAACTGATTAAAAAAAAAGATGCTTGAATAAATAAATAATAATTAACATTTTGTATTTATACAATGTGTGTATGTGGATTGATCAATAAACTTTCTGTGAATTTATCCTAATTGATATATACTTATAACCCCTTAAAATAGATATTAAACATAAAGTATGGGGAAAGTGTTCTGAGCATTATGGTTGGTCAAATTTATCAAAATTTTACTTGTTTGACTAACACAAATATAAGTAATATAGTGAAAAATCTCAGATCCTGAATGATTTGAACTTTGAGCAAGTCCAATAATTATGAATTGTGAAAGTAAACTCATATTATTCAACAAAAATAATTAAAGAGTAATTGTTAATCTGGTTAACATCAATTTTTATACAGTAAAGTTTTTTTTAAATGACTTTTAGTTAACTTATTGTTTAGCATAATAATATAAATAATGCTGATTAAATGTTGAAAGAAAAAAGGAAAAACGAAGCAAAGGATAAGTGAAACTTTCTCTTTAATGACTAAAATCACATTTTTTCCTCTTCTTTTTTTTATTTAAAGTGAATGAAAAGAATTTTGTTCAATTTTTAAAACTCCTTTATTCTAAGATATGCAAAATTTTACTTCATTTTAAGCTACATAGTTTTAAATTATTAAATTACAAACTGTACAAGCGTTAAAGTTACTTACAATTCAAAAATTTATTACCTTTTATTAAATTAGATAATGAAGAAATGCGAAACATTTATTTTTACTTGTAAATTATTTTCGGATAAGCAAATTTTACGATTGTGTCTTAAAATGCTAAGAATCTCTGAAATAGGCCCAGAGACAAATATGCAAAAATTTAACACAACTTTACGGATCTAAACCTTCAGAATACTCTTCTGTCTAAAAAGAAAACCATATAGGTCTAAATTATGGTCACACTTCCTGCCCTTATTTTAAAGACCAAGATTCTATATCCGATGAAAAAGACACGTTTATTTAAAGAAAGTACGCTTTTCTGCCTGATTTTATAACTAAAATGTAGTCTGCAAAAAAACAAAAAAAAAATAGCACGTTTAAATTTATTCACTTGACTTATCGTGATTGAATCTTAGTATGTGACAATCTGTTTTTTATTTCGTGCACTGTACATAAACTCTTCCAATGTTTTTATTAAATTCTTAATCCTATTATTTGTCTGAATTCTGCTTAGATGTTGTGCTCGGCTGTTTGCGAGGACAAAAGGTAGCTGTAAAAGTTCTTAAAGATAACAGCAAGGCAGCTCAATCTTTTTTGGTAGAAGCTTCTGTCATGACGTAAGTTATTTTATTTTTTGCTTAAAATTTAATAAACTTAAACATTCCAAGAACATTTTGATAGGCATCACGAATGTGTTTCCTTAATCATATAAGCAAAACTTTATATTAATAATTCTTAGACACAAATTCTCAATGTAAACATAGTTTCGTTCTCAAAGTACTTAAAATTTATTTCCAGATCCTTAAGTCATAGGAATCTTGTGCAGTTGTTAGGTGTAGTGTTTGATTGGCCTTCTATTTACATTGTTACTGAGTTTATGTCCAAGGGATCTCTGGTAGATTACCTACGCTCTAGGGGAAGACAACACGTCACCAAGCAAGATCAAATTCATTTTGCAACGTAAGAACTTAATCTTCTTTTTTTTTATTTCTTGCTTATACTTTTATATACAAAACTCCAAAAGCACTAACAATTAATGAATTATACAGCACTTTAAATGTATTATATCAATTATACAATTTATATATTATAATTTTTCCCCTTAGCTTTGACTGGACAAATATAAAATCTCAAAACTGTCTTTTTTTAAATAAATTTTAATATTTATAATACAAAATGCATAAATAAAATGTGAGGTGTTCAGCTTTTTTTTTTCTTTTTTTGTTCTTTACGAGCATAATTATCTACAGCAAAATAACTTATTTCATTANGGATAATCGGTTCATTACTGTATTATTAAAAGCCAAAATTCTTGCCTTAAAAGAAATTGAAACAAATGGTTATTGAGAGTTATAAATTAATAACTATAACTCTCTTTTGTGGCGTCTTCTGATTTGCAATTTCATATTTTTTAATTTTTTGGATGTTATGCTTTCTTTAATTTGCTTATATATTTTTTGTGGACAAGTATTATATTTTATTTTTATAATTTTTTCCCCCAAGTAGAAATTCTGATAAAAAAAAAAACAAACTTGTTTTTCTTTCTAGCTGTAACACTTTTTCTCAAAAATACTGTGGTAATGTTAAAGGCTACTACAAATCTAAAACTTCATTATGATTGATTTTGACAAATTTCAAATTGCCATGATTTTCTTTAGCTGCTTTTATACGTATGAGAAATTAAAAAACTTATGTATGTTTTTCAATTTGTTTATATGTAAATATAAATATACATAGCATAAGTTATAAACTTAATTTTTTAATTTTCTATTAACTTATTATAAACATAGAATTCATAAATATATTTTATAGGTGCTTCCTGTTGGAAGTAGAATCGGGATTGACCCATTACTGATAAGTTATGGTAAGTTATTTTATGCCTATTGTTTGCTTAAAACTGAATTTGATTATAGATAATATTGTTGAACATATGTTATTGTTGATCATTCATTATATAATGCATGCATAATAATTTCAATTTAAAATTTGGTTCATTTGCACTAATTTCGTATTATAGAAACCACATAGAAGATATAAAGCAGGGCTCGGCGGAGTCACTTTTCTCACTTAAAGTCAATGTCTTAAAAAATAGTAACTTTTATTTACTATTTTTAAGCTCTTGTCACTTATCTAACTTTTTTTTTAATTGCGTTCCACAATTTTCCTTTTTCAATCCCATAAAAAACTTCGCTTTCCCCTCCCCCTTATTGTCCTGTCCTAGTGCCTCACCCAAATGGGTGATGGTAAAGCGCCAATAAAATTGCTGATTCGCGAAATCAGCGTAAGGAGTTTCAAATGCTATATGACGTCACAGCTAGAAATTTCACGTTCATCTGGTTCATTCATCATCTATCCTACTTTCGTCTGTTCTGCTTTGGATTTTGGAATTTTATGGAAATTGGAATTTCATTTTCTAGAATGCGCTGGATGCATGGGACTTGTTTTTCTAATACAAGGTATGTATTTTTATATATTTATATATATTTAATGAATTGCTTAAAATAAATAAATGAATTGCTTAAAATAAATATAATACAACATATAAATATGTGTTATTATTGATTCCTAATTATATACTTGTCGACGCCATTATTTAATAAAGTTTGCAATCGAATCTGCTAAATTATTTAAATTTAACTAATTAAGAGTTCGTCCAATAATTGATTTTGTTCATTAAACGATTGCGGCAGCTACGAATTTCGCTTTTAAATGGAGATAACTGAACGAAATAAATGAATATTTTAAATAAGAAAATTAATACGTTATTAAAAGAATGTTTTTTTTTCCATCGAAATAAATGGATATTTTAGGATAGAAAATTAATACGCAATTATAGGTGTTTTATTTTTAAATCGAAATGAATGAATATTTTAATTAGAAATTTTATTTTTAAATTAGCAGATCATCTTTGCTAACCGAAATTATTGAAATAAATGAACGAATAACGAAATTATTGAAATAAAATTTATTTAGCTATTATGCCGGTATATTAAAATTAAATTAGATAATTAATAAAAAAAATTATACAAATCGAAATAAATGACGTATAAAATTGAGTATGGTTCTACAGAAATTAAACTTTTTTGATTCAATGAAAGATGTACTCATTACTACCAAGATTTAGAATTAATTTACTTTTTTTTAGCGCGAATTCGATCAGAAACTGGTTTGCAATACTAATGCGTTTAGCTCTCAGTATCTAATTGAGAGTATTTTATCTATTTATTTAATTATTCTTTATTTAATTTTTCAATATCTACTTTAAAAGATTTTTTTTTAAAATTTAATGAGCAATATTCCAATAATTATTTTTTTTTATTTGAAGATTATTAGATCGAGAGGGGGCAGGGAGGGGACAAATGTTTTATTTTCTCCTGTGTGTTTGTTGTTTTTCTGATAAGCTGCCGTCAATCAAACTTATAGGAGTGGCATGCCGATTTCGTTTTCTCAGATTTACGAGGGGGTGTGGAAAATGCATTGCACACGCATATCAATTAATGTCGGGAGTTAAGGAACTTGAAACTTCTGTCTAAGAGTATTGAATTTAAAGGTGAAATGTGAGATTTATTTTAAATCCACTTGTGTTACTTAGTTTTTGTTATCCTTGATTTATTATGATGAATTGTTTTATTATTTCGGATAATGCGTTATTTATTACGAACAGGACGTTTTTTAATCACCAATTATATTTATCGATTAACAAAACAATATTTTTTTTGTTGAATAAATTCTGATTTTTTAGAAATGCGGTATAATTAACAAGTTTTTTTTTTTTTTTTTTTTTTTTTTTTTTTTTTTTTTTTTTTTTTTTTTTTTTTNCGTTAAAAATAGTCTTTTTATGAAAAATAAATATAAAAGGAAAAGATTGTTTATTAATTTAAGCATATAATTATTTGTTAATAAAAGCAGACGATTATTTTATGAAGCAGATAGCAGTTTTCTTAATTTTGATCCTGTTTTTCTGATTCCACTGCGTTTGAGTTTTTTTTCTTTTTATTTTTTTTAAATTTTTCTTTTCTTTTTAAGATAAATTTCGTACTCAATAAATTAATTCTTTTTCATAAATTTTATCATTAAGTTTTGTTTTTTTTAATTCCGTTGATCTTATAATATCTTGTCTTGTTCTAGGTTTTAATATTTATGTTAATGCCTTTTATAGATATCGTTTCCGTTCGATAATTTTTAATTATCGATAATTTTAATTATTGTTTTTATTTAGATTAATAAGTTTTCCTTTTATCGTCCCCCCCCCCAATATAATTAGGTATGAAATACATTGCGTTTTTTGCTTATTGGTTTTGTTTTATAATAGTTAATTTGGGGATTTTAATTATTATCAAAAAATAAATATGCGAATTTAGTATTTTTTAAACTTGTTTTTCTTGTCTAAACTTGCAAATGTTTTTATCCTTTTAAATGTTATTTTTCTACCCTTTTTTTAAGTTTAGGTGATCTATTTTTTCCCTTTTTTTTTCTTCCTTACTTTAAAATGTGTTTCACTTGTCCCTTGCAATTTGGGTTTGATAAAACATAAATTAATTTATTCTCTACTGTATTTTTCGGTTATTTAATTAAAATTACTGGATTTTTAGCTTCTTTAGAATGGGAGATAAGTGTTTTTTTTTCTCTTTGAATATGTTTTCTTTCATAATTTATTTATACCTACACAAACTTTTATTAAGTTTGTTTTTATTGTCGTTTGTAAACTATTACATTTTTTTTAGGTTTTAACTGTTAATGATGGGTAAATGCACATTTAATCCAATATGGCTTAAGAAAGATGATGATACAGACAAAGAAGTATCAGAATGGGGAAAGAAACACGATGATTATTCTATCTTCTGTCAAGTTTGTTCATCTACTGTGAATATCTCTAATAAGGGATTTCTAACAATATCTCAGCATGTTGGCACAAAAATGCATCAAGAACAAATGGACGTTAAAAAGAATCCGCTTCAATTTCGTTTGTTTAACAACATATCTACAAATGAGGAAATGCGAGCTGCAAGTAGCAGAACAAACACTCTCCGTACCATTTATCTTCATAATGAAAAGGAATCTGCTACTGTTGCTGAACATATATGGGCAATGAAAACTGTTGCATCAAATTATTCTGCAGCATCATTTTCTGGCATTGTAGCAACTTTTAAAGCTATGTTTCCTAACAGTATTCCACCTTCCTTTTCATTAAATCTTCATCATTAGCAGAAGTCACGGATGAAATGAAACTTCCACTAGCCAAATTGTTGATGTTGTGGAGTGACTGTCCCAGTGTTAACAAGAAAGTTAATAGGTTGATGAATGAAGAAGTAAAACTTGTATCGGACAGAGAGCTTTAGAAAAATTTAAATTACCAGAAATTTAGAAGAAGTTAAATTAGCAGAAGCAATGCTGCAAGGTGTTGCTAAAGTAAGGAAGGAAGGAAGAAGATGAAGAAAGAAAAAGAAAAAGAGGAGATGCCATTAAAAAAACTCTAGAAAAGAAGTCCGCTCTGATAGAGAGTTATTTTAGGCTAACTCAAAATAATGGATACATTTCCTCACTTAAAATAACTGATATCATTAATGAAATCAATTCAGGACTTAATTACTAATAGTGATTTAATCTTTGTTATGTTTAAAAATAAAAATTATCTTAATTTAAGTTAAGCCTGTAATTTATTTTTTTTTAGTTATAAAAATTTTGTGAATTTATTGGGAACATTTTTACAAAAAATTTCAGTTGCTGTTAAGTAATATAATGAATGGATTTTTATTTTCATTATAATTGATTATAATTATTATTGTTTTTTAACAGTTATACTTGATCTAGCTCAATTTTTTATGTTATATTATGGGACTAAGATGTTGCAGGATGTTTACATTGTTTTTAATGTAGTCACTATATGTAACTTTTTAAAAAATTTTAGTCACTTTTTTCACTACTTTTCTTGCATTAAGTTGTGCTGAGCCCTGAATATATGAGTTATGTTTAATATTTTCTTAATTGTTAAGGCTATTCTAGATTAATCAGCAGAGTAACGAACTATTTTTTTTCCATGTGTATGTGTAATTTATCTTTGCAAAATTACACTATTACAAAGATTGACTGGCATTACTTACTAATATGTTACATTATAGTATTTTTATAATTCCTTACATATTACTTTATTTTTTGAAATCCATCAGATTTTTTTTTATGTGTTTTTTGGTTTGGTGTGAATTTTAAAAAAAAAGAAAAAAATCATATATTTGTGTTTACTTAAAAAGTACATTTTCTTCCCCTCATGAAATGTTACTTCTTGTAGGTATGTGATTTTGGATTGGCTAGAGAGCGATGTTTTAATCTTGAAGGTGGAAAGTTTCCTATTAAATGGACTGCTCCTGAAGCATTGCGTCACAGTGTAAGTTTTGATTGGGGCATTAAATTCAATTCTACATTCAGTTTCTTGAACTTTATTATAAAATCATAATAGATATCAAAATTAAAAAGATTAATTGGTTGTGAAAAAAACTCATTGTTTTTTGTTGTTACTGATTTGTATTACTGTAGCAAGGTTTCCAGCTTTCTACACTGTTTGAGAACAAAAAAAAATTTTCTAGTTTGTCATGCTTAAATATATCATTCTTGTTTTGTAAATTTTGTTTAAAGCTATTTTTGAATTCACTACAGATTTAAAATGATTCAAAAGTTTATATGAAACGCAACTTTATTCCTACTTTCTAATGGTGATGTTTTTAAAATTTGCAAAATTATTAAAAACTTTGAAGGCTTAAGTTGTCTACTGCTCTGTAAAATATTTTGTAAAAATGTTGTAATTAGCAGCCCTACTGTTGTAAATATCTCTTGTACTTTTCTTTGAAATAACTAAGTCAATTATTATAACTTGAAGGAAAAAAAATTCTTGTTGAAAGGTTAATATTATTTTAGAGTTTTGTGATTGATTTTACTGGGTGTTTCCTAATGAGCACTCTTAAAATACATTTTTCGAGTCCTTGTCAGAAATAAAGTTTAAAAAAAGTATGCACATTAAGGGTCTTAAAATAATCTTAAATCAAGGGGAAAAAATAATATTGAAATCTTAATAAATTACTATTTATAAGAGATGGGACTAAATACAAAACCTGTTTGAGCAAAACTTCACATTTGTGAGCAAGAAAAAATTTTAACTATCACAATAAAGATTATTTTTTCAATCAAATTTTCTAAAACTGAATCTCCTAGGTTATCTAACTTAGTTAGTACCATTCCTTGATTATGATATGAAATATCTCCTAAATCATTTACTATTTGAAATATCTTGTGAAACATTTGCTACCAAAATAATTCTAAAGTTTCATTGTATGTGTAACTAACACTTCTCTTGTAACTGGCACAATGGTTAAACCTTATAAAATTAACTTGTTAAAAACTATGACTAAGTCTTTTAAAAATATTTTAATTAATATTTTTTTTTTTAATTTTTAAGGGGGTGCAGGGTCAAACTTAAGGCTGTTTTAAAGCTTCTTCATAAAATTAAATATGAAAACCTGCACTTCTACAAAAGTTTCCTTTAATAAAAATAATTACTTTAGAAAATTTTTTAATACACAATTCTCTAAACTTGAGAACAATTTCAGACGTGAATGCTGATTTGCCTAAGATTAGCTTATTAGACAATAGAAGAAAGCTTTCCTTAGACTTTTTATTGCTGGAATCTTACTAAAAAATTTGATAAACATTATAAAAAAAATTTATCAATTTTTAAACACCAACTGTATTTTAAATGCTTGCATCTTAGAGAAAATGTAGAAGTGTAGCGATCTGATGTTTGATTTTTGTTCGATTGTGATTATCAAAACATCTATAATTTTGCTGGAACTTATTGAAACATGAAAGTATAATGTGTCATCCAACCATTTACAGAGGAATTATTTTTCTATTCTACTAATAAAGTTGCTACATGTCTGTCCCAACATTGATTTCTGCGCCAAATACTTGATATTTATAACATTTTTCTTGGGGCTTTGTTTCCTCTGTCGTTCTTTAACATTTGAAATTGTTGCACTTTTATATTTGAAGTATTCTTTGCCAATCCTGTGGTATGTCAAGTTCCACAGGAGATCTTCATTTCATTGGATCGTTCTCATTTTTGACTGTCATTGTCAAACTTTTTACATCACAGCCTCATTTTTATTTTGAATTTGTATGTTGTGTTGCAAACCTCTAGTTTAAAAAAATGTTTGACCTATCGAAAATATGAAATTTTTTTTAATGTTATTAAATTACTAATCGTGCTTTTTTAAAATACATTAAAAAAAATATGTTTAGTTCCAAAAGTGAATGTTTTACATGAGTAAGAAATTTTCCTTAAATTATTTCTATTTTTCACCCAAAAAAAATTATAAAATTGTCCACCCCCCCCCCCCNTCCTTATTTCATATCCCCCCCCCCCCCCAAAAAAAAAAATCTTAATCTATTCATGTTTTCTTAACCATTTTCAAAACTACCTATTATCTAAGTTCTTTTTTTTTTCAGAAAATTTGGTTTTCATCAAAGTTTTTTGATTGCTGTACTCATTTATGTATAATTCTTCCTTTTATTTGTGCATAAGACTGTTAATTAATTTTTGACATAAAACTAAGTATCTGTTTGAAAACTTTTAAATAAATTCTTTTGTTATTTAATAACTATTTTAAACTTTCTCCGGTAAAATTATTTAATGTAAGTGCTTTTGAATGAGATTATGTATTAAGAACAATTTTAACTAATGTGTAAACTTTTTTTTTTATCCTATAGAATTTCTCCAATAAATCTGACATGTGGAGTTTTGGTATTTTGTTGTGGGAAATTTATTCCTTTGGTAGAGTGCCTTATCCGAGAATAGTAAGTATCTTTTCTGAACTTGCTTTTGTTTAATAACCTTTCTTATTTACTTTTAAATGATTTTTGACAGTTTAAAAAAATTTAATGACCTGCATTGCTTATCATATCTAAGATGAAGATATTTTTTTATTTCCATAAATTGCTTAGGGCCGGTATAGCCTGGTTAGTAGGGTGCTGGGCCCATGTCCAAGAGTTTGTGGGTTTCGAACCCCACCGACCGAAGACTCCCCGTGTAGTAAAGTGACTAATGCACGTTAAATCTGTCGAGTCGCAAACGTCTCCCCATGTTCCCATAACAAATCAATACCTCTGGGGTTACTGGATTGGAGATCGATCCCTCTCTTGATTCAGGTCAAAATTATGATCTGTGGATTAACGAATGGATGTATGAATGATTCTTTGATGCAGCTATAAACGGGTGCGACGTATGGTGTGGCAGAAGTTAAATTCTTGGCCATAGATGGCACCAATGGAAAATAAGAACAATCCCATCCCCCTCTGTTTAAACAGGCATACGTCAACAACTATAGTGCTTAAGGAAAATTGGCAATTTTCGTAAATTTGTAACTTTTCTACTCTATCATTTCTAAAGGGAGAGATATAAACATTCAATGTATATTTTCATAGTGTTTATACTGTATGATATAAAGAAACAAAAGAAGAGCTCATATAAACTATTCAAAAAAATTTTTATACCTAATCAAAGTTAAGTGACAAAAAAAATTTTTTTTCATTGAACTGTCGGAAATTTTGGCACTTGGGTATTATCCTGTAAACAATTTCTCAAGTTGCATTTCATAACTTATTGCATCAATTTCTTCATGTAGTAAGTTATATTGGTATTTTGTCCTTTTTTTACAATCAATTGCTATGTATAAATAATTTCTGAAGATATCAAAATGACTTTGATGCGGCATTTGCAAAAATGGTCGACAGTATAATGTACCTGAATTTCTTTCGGGGGATATTTTAAAGTAAAAAACATTTTTCTTTGATTATAGGGTCACAAATAAAAAAGGCTTATGTTTGTTTGTTTTTTAAAAACCTAGCTCTTATTTCTATTACATCTTATGGTAGAATATCTTATGCATATAAAACAGCCGCTTTTATAGGTTTATGTATTTCATTTCGTATGATGTTATAATTTAATTCCTGCTGGTCAGTTTTCTCTCAAAATCCTAATCCCTGACGTAACACATAAATTTCTTGTAGTTGCATAAATTAAATTTTTTTATCTCATGCAGTTTAAAACTTTTATCTAATTTTGAGGAAATCCATATTCTGTTAACTAATTGGAAATTGTTGAGTTTGCCCCTTTAAAATAAACCCTAATTCCCCAAACATTGACTTAACTGTAACAGCATCGACACAACATTTCTGCTGATATTTATAATGTGCTTTATTATGAATGTTTGATAATTTTCTCTTGTGATGTTTGCAGCCTTTGGCAGATGTGGTAAAACATGTTGAGAAAGGTTACAGAATGGAGGCACCCGAAGGATGTCCGTCTGATATATATGACATCATGAAACAAGCCTGGGATCTTGAGCCTGAAAATAGACCAAACTTTATAGATGTACTAAAACGATTAGAACATTTAAGGGCTCTTACAGACTGAAGCAATATTATGTGTAGTAAGTAGTAATAAATTGTATTTTTTTTAAGCATTTTGTACAGTGCAAAAAATAATAAACGGACGGATTTACAAACAAAAAATTTTAATTAAAAAACGGATCGATTGTTAATTTTGAGATTTCACTTAATTCTTTGAGGCCTTCCGGTGTTGCCATGGATCGCTACCAAGCCTACCTTTTTGAATCCTCTTTTTCTTTTGCTGACAGGTCACGTACGCACACTTAGAGCCTACAGTATTCTCCGGATGCCCCCTGGCGGGGGTGGGACAGGGTTAAGCTCTGATTTTCCAAATTTTGATATAATTTTACTATAAAATTCGTTCATCTGAAGGTAATACCACTCAAAATATAACTTTTATTAAATATTTATTGTGTTTCATTTAATAAGTTGAGAAAATTTTGTATTGTAAAGAATTAAAAAAAAAAATTGCATCATTTTTAAGGATGTAATTTTACAAGACAAAATTTGAGCGAAATCAATCTAATTGTTCCTTAAAAATCTAATTTTAAAAATGGCTTCTTTAAAGTCCGATTTCTCAGAAACTATTCGACCAATTTTGTTCAAATTTTGTATAAAATAAGTCTTTAAAATGATGTAAAAAATTTGTATGCCTTACACTTCACAATTTTTTCGACTAAAATAAAAAATAATAAATGTTTACTAAATGTTAAAATTGTCATAAAATTATCTTTGGATAAACAAATTTTCTAATTGTGTGCTAATTTTGTTTTCAATTTGCTTAAGAAGTTCTCAACATATAGCAAAATATAAAATTAAGAGGTCCAAACTTCTGATCCCTATTCTGACCAAACCGTGGGTAATATTGTAATTGCGACTACCCCCTATATTTTGGAAGTCAGAAATCCAAATCTGTCCGGAAAAAAAAGATGTTTATTCAGAGAAAGTACATTTTTGTGTCTAATTTCTTAACTTAAAATATCGTCTGCACTAATTAACATATTTAAGGTTTCCCCTTTGAATTATTTAGGGAGGCTCGTCTTTTATTTTGCATTCTGTATATACTTTTCCCCTCCTATTCCTCATACATTAAAAAAAGTAAAAGAACTTCCTCGGAATATCCAGTGCAGAAATGTTAAGTGCATTTTATTTGACAAGAATCTTTAGAACTATCTACAGTCAAAATTCAATGATGTCATTTACTCATAGGAGTTTCCATTATCCTTTAGTGAAAATTGAATTAGCCTCTTACATTAATAAATAACATGCTTATCTTATTGAAATATATGAATTATGAAAGTTTGAGATGGTTCATTTATAAAGTTTAAAACAATAATCTACTTTATTCCCGTTTAAGCAATTATCTTCTTTAGGTAAATGCAAGTTCCTTTCTTCTGATACACTTGATTTTATTGTGTGTCTTTTTCTTAATTTTGTTTTACATTTAAGTATCATATAATTTTCAAACTCCAGTTCTACTAAAAACATACATATTTCAAGCCTTGTAGTATGCCGCAAGTAAAATCAGGACATTTTACGAAACGGTATGCATATACAATTTTTATTTTCAGAATTACTTATTTAGAACAAAAAGTTTTAACAGTTTCCAGTATTGTTTTATTAATGGAGCTCTGAGCCAACTCATTATGGTTTGAGCTCAATGTTTAAAAAATTCCTATAGTACCGTTGCATTCAAAAAAACAAAATTATTAAATATTGGTATGAGAAAATATTAACAAATTGATATTAGCTGAAATAAGTTCAAGATTTTTTTAATCAAATAATTTTGAAATTAGGTTTTAAATCTGGAAGTGAAATCAATGATTATGCTGATTAGCATTATATATAATGGAAAATACTTAAGTTCGCATGCGAGAGAAACCAATTTTGAAACTCCTGCCTAAAAGATTTTTTACTGCATTTTCTAAAAATCATAGATAAATGTATAACTCATGAATTCATTCCCTTAAAATTTAATAAAGTTTGAAGCTATGAATCATGCAAGTAATGCTATATGCCGGAACCAAGTACTGCCAAAATTGCTTGCAACAACTTTAAAATGATTGTTAAGTATAATATTAAGTTTCTCGGTAGCTCCCCAGTGGTGTAGTTGGTGAAGGCATCGCTGGTGGAAAGCTAGCGGTCTGGAGTTTGATCCTGGCAACAGACGAAACAACTGGTGTGTGAACGTTAAATCTGTCGTTGGGGTTGAAAGTCCTCTCCTTAGTTGTGGTGTGGCAGTTTGAAGNTATAAGCTTATATTCATGATTAATATTAATTTTTTATCAGTAAATAGTTTTTTTTTATCAGTATCATAAACTCAAGAAAGAAAGACATACTTGTGAATTTTAATTACTTCTCCAAGTCATCATAGGTATGTGCAAATGGTATAGGTATGTGTAAAATTTTAAATATATTTTAAGTAAGCTAAGAAATATTGAGAAAAAGGAAAAAACCTTGTTTGTTATAGTACCGTTGCATTAAAAAAAAAATTATTAAATATTGGCATGAGAAAATATTAACAAATTAATATTAGCTGAAATAAGTTCAAGATTTCTTTAATCAAATAATTTTGGAATTTGAAAACTATGATTAGCTGATTAACATTATATTTAATGGAAAATAATTAAGTTCTCATGTGAGAGAAACCAATTTTGAAACTCCTGCCTAAAAGATTTTTACTGCATTTATTAAAAATCATAGATATAACTCCTGAATTCATTCCCTTAAAATTTAATGAAGTTTGAAGCTATGAATCATGCAAGTAATGCTATATGCCTGAACCAAGTACTGCCAAAATTGCTTGCAGCATGTCCTGATTTAAATAAAACTTGAAAAGGATTGTTAGGTATAATATTAAGTTTATCGGTCGCTCCCAAGTGGTGCAGTTGGTGAAGGCATCGCTGGTGGAAAGCCAAGGGTCTGGAGTTTGATCCTGGCAGCAGACTGAACAACTGGCATGTAAACGTTAAATCTGTCGTTGGGGTTGAAAGTCCTCTCCTTAGTTGTGGTGTGGCAGTTTGCAGAGAGGGGCACCAACTTGGTCTGTATCCAGGTCATATGACCAGGATCAAAAGTACTTCGCCATGGTTGGGTGGTGTGTGTTTAGTCTATTGGAGCATAGCTTGTCTATTGGAGCAAAGTTTTTGTAATTTACTTTTCCAGCTCAGCTAATCCTTTCTTGGAAAAATTTAGTGTATCAAATGTAATTGAAAATTAGTAGTGATTCATAAATCCAACAATCATTATTGAACTATCAAAATTTACAATTTTTAAAGTCTTCATTTGTATATAGCTATAAAAAATGGCTATAATCAAATTCAACCCATACAAAAACCAGAAATATCAGATCAAAAAAATTACAATTTGGCCAATTATGAACCCTGCTCATTGTTTCCAGCATATTGACTTTTAATTCATATTCCTTAGTATGTGTTTTTTTTCTTTTACATATTGTATTTTATAAAAGCTTAAATTAATAATTATCTTTTGAGCTCAATACTCTTGATGGAATTATTTCTTTGTTTTAGATATTTTTTTTATTTATAATACTAACTATAACAATTTATTTTTAATTTCTCAATTAAGTTTTTATTAATTTAGGTTCTCTTGATTGTGTTTTGTCTGATATGCAGATAATGCATTTTTGTAGAGTTGCAGTGCCTTTATGGTGGTATGCGTATGTTTGTAAACAGCGGTGAAAAAATAAAACTGAACTTGTAAATTAGTCCTAAGCCTGCCCACTTCTGTCGAACAGTGCTTCCATTGAAAGACTGAGGACAGAAATTCTTGAAGATATTCATTTTGTATTGTACATTTCTTAAAACAAAATATAGAGTATTTAACTTATGAGCCATTTGTCCTATCTCATGTGCTATGTAAAATCATTTCATTAATGCCGATCCATATCATATTTGGCCAGATTTTGTATATTTTTACTGTTAATGAATTTGATATGCACTTCTGTGTGTTATACAAGCTTGTAATACAACATATGATTAAAATTTTGTATTATGTTTCTAACTGAGCTGAACCTCTTGAGACTAACTGGGTACTTAAAAGTTTTTTCTAATAGTTTTAATATACATTTTTACTTTAAGATAAAGTAAAAAAAATTTATATTTTCCACTGGACTAAAGCCCACTTTAAAATTTCCTAAAGAAGGGATGTTTTTCATTGCAATAAGTAAAAAATGGTAATTATTATTGTTCTTATTTTCATGGTTCAACAATTGGTCAAAGATATGTATCATTAAGTTTGATTTTTTAGATAATCATATAGAATGTTTACACTTTTTTGCCAACTATAATTATATTTTTAAAAAAAATCTTTTTTGATGTTGTTCTTGTAGCCTTGAGAATTAAAACCCTTTAAGCTTAGAACATTATTATTTTATCAGGAAGTAGACTTAACAAAAACTAATTATGTAACTTTTTATCATTGTTTAACCCTTTACTACACATATATTTAGAAACACCCTAACCCATAACATTATATTAAATTAAAAATGCAAAAATTAAGTCTTTAAGAATGTTATCATGAATAACTTTTGTATTATAAATATTCTAAAGAAATATATCTAAATTTTGTTGGAATAATAATTTATTTTATATCTCATAATGGAAGGATGCTCATTTCTCCACGGCCAAACGCAAGTTTAATTCATTCATTTTCTGTGTAATTTTTTATAAAATAAAATATGTTTTTAAGCTCTAGTCTTTAGGTCTATAGAGTGTTCTGTAATCATCGCCCTTAATGTAAATTTTTAGAATCCTCATTTAAAAAAAATTTAATGAAACGATGCACTTTAAAATCAGAAATTAATATTTATGCCAGAAAGAAATGAATTTTGTAATATGTCGAATAACTAGTGAAGGAGATGAGGGGAAAATATTAAAATTAGTTTAATTGACTAATAGAAATTAGAGGTGTTTGTAATTATTGTAACTCTTTGTTTCCATCTGGCAATGAAACAAGTTCTGATAATTTTCAGTTATGCCTTCCTCATTAGTAATTTATTAGATTTCTATTGTATTTTCATTCTAACTTTATTTAATTATTTATTCGGTTTCTCTCAAAAAGAAAATCAGTTAATAATTTTTTAACTTCACTTTTTAATGCAATATCCTGTCTAATCTTGTTAAACGTAAAGAAAGAACCATGCTTTTGTTTCAAATATTGGATAAAATTTTCTGGACACGTGTAGTAAGGAGTTAATATTTTACAAATGGATATTGAAAATATGTATCAATTTCTAGAAACTGTTTTAAATTTTCTTTTGCATACTAATTTAATTATGATTTTCTCAGCTTTCACACAATTGTGATTTTCCTCATTTGTTTCAATCACGAATCTCTTTATTTCAAAGTCCTTTACAATGTGCAACTATAACTTATATTGTACTTAAACTATTGTTTCATGCTGTGTGCCTTATAAATTCTATAGTGATTTTAATTTTTACGATTGTGAATATTTTTTACGCAATGAGAAATATTTATATAGCAAATTTTGAATCATTAATATTTTTTGTGGTTCTGAAATTTGATTAGTTTTTAAAAAAAGAAATAATTTTAAACTGTCTGGAAGGGCAGAATATAATTTTTAGATTCATATTAACTTTGGAATATGTAATAACTTGAAAGCTCAATTATTTCTCATTTTATTTCCTATTTAGCATTACACTAATTAAACATGCTATAGTGTTTGTTAAAAAGGTAGCATAGTGAAATTTTAGTAGTATTCTCATGTAATGGTATTAATATTAACTAGTGTTTTATAGTTATGTATTCATCTTTGAGTTAAGTTGTAACAGAAAAATTTGAGTTAATGAAAAAAAAAATTAAGTATATTAATCCAATCTTCCACTTATTTAAAAAATCATGATGAAGATTAGGTTTTCATAGTAGATGTTGAAAAGATCACATATTTATTTATTTTCTTTTTTATTAACATAATTTCAAGTTAACAATAAATTGAATCCTATCAGACCAGATTTTTCATGTTGTAAAATAATAAAAAGAAATATTAATGAAAGACTTATTTATCGTAATAAATCTTCCGTCCGTTATGAAAAAATTTCTTAAATGGTAAAAAAATTAAAAATAATATCCATTACTGAAGTGATAACTATTAAATTTATTTTTCAATATTTTCATCTAGACCTATGCTCTGCAAAAAGATAGGGCGTGTTTAAAGTTGAAAACGCAATTTTATGAAGAAAATTTGAACATTCCCAGTTAAAATTAAAAATAATGGAGTATCAATTTTTAACTCCGTTCTGGCGAGACATTGATTATAAAAAGATAGAATTTAAATGTCAAATTTCCATATATATCAAACTCAAACGCAACACCAGATGGGGTTATCCTATCATTAGCCTTATAAAATCCTGCTGTTCCGGATCTGTTATCTTATTAAATCTATATTTACGGAAACCAAGTGAAAATTTCTGTAATGGTACGAAAATTTAAAAAAAAATAGCAAATCTGCAATTTTTTCCTTTTATTTATTTATTTTTTTTTTCTATTTGAAAGTAGAATGTTAAGTCCTGAATACTATGTACAATAAAATTGAACAGCAAAATTTAATGCTCAATGTCGAATTTATAATTTTAAAGATGCTAAGAGACTGAAAAAGTTAGAGTAACTTCATTCTATTTTCAAAAGACTTGGGGAAAGGTTTTTTGAGTGAAACTAGCATTATACAAGATAGGATCTTATTGAATATTTTAATGCTGTTTAGTTAGACATGATTTTAAAAAATAAACATTTTATCAAGAAATTAAGAGTTTTGATTAAAATAGTTAAATGTAACTATTATAGTGAGGCAGCTATGAGATAGGCTAATACTTTACTTTGTTCTGCCATTTTCTTTTTAATTGGTTATTTATTTTGAAGCTCTATTACAAGAAAACTGGTGGGAAACTTAATGAAATAAAAGGGTCCTTAAAAGTTTAAAAGAAAAATGTAGTTTTATATGAGTTTACAAAATAAAGAACAGAACACTGTAATAGTTTTTGATGTAATGATTGCATTTATACATACTAACTGGATTCAAAGGGCTAATTTTAAATATGCTGTCTGAGATATCAGATAAAAATGTACTTTCAATGAATAAATACTATATAAGTAGACCCCATTTTTGATTAATAGATTGCAAATTTCTGGTTATGTTGTGTAAGTCGACCAAAATATAAACATTTTTAAAATTAAAAGAAGATTATTAAAGACTGCAAAATTTGTTTCAAGAGAAAAATATTTTACATTTTTCTCTGGATATGATATATACCCTCAAATAAAGACACATTACATTATTGAATCCAACACAAATAATATTTTTGAATTTGTAGCATTATGGTATATTTAAAAACTTTTCATTATGTTATATGCTTTGAAATAATCTTGAATAAATTATATTAAATTTTCTTATCCTTAATTTTTTTTTTCTGAATGTAATTTAAAGTGTTTTTAAAAAAACCTTTATATGTAAGGAATATGTAATGAAAGAAGAAAATTAATTGTATATTAAAAATAGATTTTGAAAGGAGTAAATTGGTACAGTGTAATTAATATCTAACTCATTGTTTATAAGGCATCAATATTTCACGATCAACAAACATCGAGCTTTGATACCCTATGAATAAATGGACCCTCTGATTTTTATAAAATTTTGGGGGTTTGAAAAAATGTATAGTAAACTTTTTTTTTATGAATTAGGATTCTCGATTCTCAAAATATGAAGGTTGTCACAGTTTGGAAAATATGGCCCATCATAAGTTCTTAACATTTTTATTTTGCGCACTATGCATTACAATATGTGCCTGGTCTGAAGGGATTGCGATTACTGTATTTCAGTTTGTTGTTTTACTTTTATAAAATTCAGCAAAGCGTAACAATTTGAAAATTTTTAAATCTCATTCCTCTTAGGGGTACTTTTCCCGCTATATTGTGCCACTAAAGTTCTTTTTTTGTGTCAGTATACTATTTAATTCAGAATATATATGTATTTTTTTGTTTTGTTAATATATAAGGCTTAATGTATTTAGCCTTGGGCAGTAGCGTTTTGTGGTTAAACAAAAAGTTTTATGGCAAAACAGTAGAGTTCTTAAAATAAAAAATTTTAAAAATCACTTTGTCTAATTCCAGTTACAAGTAGTAACTTTTGAGTAGTTAAAAGTGTAAAATTACATCAAATTTACTTGTGAAGTGAAGTTACTAACTTCCTAAATTTTAAAGTTTGAATATTTTACATACTTTTTAATATACTCGTTTTTACAAACAAACTTTTATTGTTTTCAAAGTATCTTAAAATTTTAACAGTGTGTAGAATAAATTTTAGCGAGCCAAATCAATGTACAGGCCATTTTTATATAGGATAATTATAGTGTGAGAGAAATTAATTCATTTATTATGTAAGTTAGTAATTAAATTTTGAATTTTCATGAAACGTTTTGTGTCCTAGTTCCATTGTATCCAATCAGTTATGAAAACTTATGTTGTTATGTCAATTGCAAATTATTTAAAAAATGTAAATTTTGATATAACAAAGTAATAAAAATTATTTCAATAAATTGATGTTACCATATTTTATGTTATGAACTCACCTTTTTGTAGTAAATCCTTTCCATTTTGATAACACTGTGCATCTGTTAAGCTTATCCGTGAACAATTTCTGCTCTGAACTCTTGAGTTAATTCCTTTTTCACCTAAAGGAACAAAGTTTTTTTCATTTTTTTAGATCTTATCTTCACTAAATTCTAACTTTAAAGTTTATCCCAATTTGTTGTTACGTATGGCTTTATTGGAAAAAATTAATCCATATAGTACAATGTTCAGCTTTAAGTAGACATAAACAAGGAGTAAAAAGGAACAAAATTACATTAACTAACACAGAAAACACATGACAAACGCATATTAACACAAAAAGAACACAAAGATAAAATTAAAGTAGAAAAATATATATGTTGTTAAATACAGTGAAGAATGAGGAGTAGTCTTTACAGAGAGTTCATGTGATCTCTGGCATCCCAATAAAGTTTACAGAGGTCACTCCGCTCTTGAGATTGTTTGTCCAGTAAAGGGCATACAAGCAAGTGGTCTGAGTTCATGGTTCCCGAATTGCAGATTTGGCACTCACTAGATGGAAAGATACCTATTCTGTTGAGGTGCTCTGCCAAGCAGTCATGGCCTGTTGAGAGTCTGAAGTTTGCCACAGCCTTCTTACGAGAACTGTAACAAAATTTCTTCCAACTGTTTTGGATGTTAGCCCAGGGTTTCCCGGTGGATTTTACTGCTTGGTTGCGCTTTAGGTCGGTCGTAAGTTTCACGGAAAATTGTTTTTTAGGGAGTCTGGTGGAATCGGTTTATTACATTGCGGTTCGAGTGTCCCTTTCTTGGCTAGTTGGTGTGCCTTTTCATATTATCCCAATTAAATAAATTCTTAAAACGTATGCAAATCTTATTTTGACAATTATATTTGCTCATGCTCTAAACACAAGAGTATGTCCGTTCTTTAATGTCAGATGCAAATTTTTTCGACTTTAAAATGAATCTTTTTATATCATATGCAAATCTTAATGTGTAAAAATCTTATTCTTGATTAGTAGTTTTGTCAATGCTCTGAATACTAGAGTTTGCTCTTTCTTCTTTACCTAAAGAAGCAACATTTTTCGGATTAAACACTCATTTTAATTTAAACCAGTGGGAGGTAACATTTATCTAGCTCTAACACTGTTATACTCATAAGACCTAGTTTAATGTGTCTACGTTCATTCCCCAACAACTAATTGTCCAACAGGTATGTGTTTTTTTTAATGATAGATTTGACCTGTTAGGCAAATGAAAAAAATGACTGGATTCTGCAATTACAAAAAATTATTATTTTTTATTTTTAGAAAATCATATTTTCATAATTACTTTTTACTTTATCATTATAGTTTTTTGTTATCGTTCACATATTGCTCGCCCTTGCTTATAACATTTATTCGTATATCTTATATTTTAAGTATTTTTAATAAAGTAATTATTTTTTTTTTTTATTTCCAATGGCCAAGGTTACAAAAGACCACTCACCATAAAGGGAGGAACAACAAAATAAATAAACAAAAACAAACGTGGCAAGAAAAGTCTATGAACCGAATAAGTCTCTTGCGCGCCAGTAACGGTCACACAAAGAGATGTCCTTCAGTACCGGGCAAAGACGAAGGTGGTCTGCATCCATCTCCGCTTGAAGGTCACAGAGCGTACAGAAAGGGACTTGAGCAACATGAATTCGATGGAGATGTTTGAGGAGACAGTCATGTCCGGTAGTCAGTCGAAACTCAGCAACTGCCCTACGTCTTGGCCACCTAGGAAGACCTTTGAGATTATTCCACCAGAATTTTTCTCTGTGTATTGGTTTAAAGTGAGACCCATCATCTTTTTCTTGATTAGGCGCTTGGCATTGGTGAGAGGGACAACTTTCTTTGATGTCTGTTGGATAGAAGCTCCCCGCTTAGCAAGATAGTCTGCTAACTCATTATCAGCTGCACCGCAGTGTCCCGGGCTCCACTGCAAAACAATTTCCTTTGAAAGCCCGGTAGGAGCTTTTTACACTCAAGGATTTTAAAGGAAGCAGGAGTAGTGTTTGAATTCACAGCAAAAATTGCCGCTTTTGAGTCGCAAAAGATAACAGCCTTCACAAAACTGTTCAGGTGACAGTGCAGCTACGAAAGAGCTACACGAATAGCAGCAACTTCTCCATCAAAGGCAGTTGTGCAATTTCCAGTTGAAAAATAAAAGGAGAAGAGATTGCTATAAACCCCTCCTCCTGCGTTGTTAGTGTCCTTCAAAAGGCTATCATCGGTTTAGATATGTACCCAATCGGATTCAGGATATAAGGTGCGTATTTTTTCCAGAGCAAGCATTTTTAAAATCGAGGTGTCTTGCTCTTTTTTGGAAACCGCTTGGGTGAGATCAGTGCGGATCTGGAAGCCTTTATCAATTGTCGGGTCCAAAGGAANTACTTTAAATCATATGCAAATCTTAATGTGTAAAAATCTTATTCTTGATTAGTAGTTTTGTCAATGCTCTGAATACTAGAGTTTGCTCTTTCTTCTTTACCTAAAGAAGCAACATTTTTCGGATTAAACACTCATTTTAATTTAAACCAGTGGGAGGTAACATTTATCTAGCTCTAACACTGTTATACTCATAAGACCTAGTTTAATGTGTCTACGTTCATTCCCCAACAACTAATTGTCCAACAGGTATGTGTTTTTTTTAATGATAGATTTGACCTGTTAGGCAAATGAAAAAAATGACTGGATTCTGCAATTACAAAAAATTATTATTTTTTATTTTTAGAAAATCATATTTTCATAATTACTTTTTACTTTATCATTATAGTTTTTTGTTATCGTTCACATATTGCTCGCCCTTGCTTATAACATTTATTCGTATATCTTATATTTTAAGTATTTTTAATAAATTAATTTTTTTTTTTATTTCCAATGGCCAAGGTTACAAAAGACCACTCACCATAAAGGGAGGAACAACAAAATAAATAAACAAAAACAAACGTGGCAAGAAAAGTCTATGAACCGAATAAGTCTCTTGCGCGCCAGTAACGGTCACACAAAGAGATGTCCTTCAGTACCGGGCAAAGACGAAGGTGGTCTGCATCCATCTCCGCTTGAAGGTCACAGAGCGTACAGAAAGGGACTTGAGCAACATGAATTCGATGGAGATGTTTGAGGAGACAGTCATGTCCGGTAGTCAGTCGAAACTCAGCAACTGCCCTACGTCTTGGCCACCTAGGAAGACCTTTGAGATTATTCCACCAGATCTTACCAGAATTTTTCTCTGTGTATTGGTTTAAAGTGAGACCCATCATCTTTTTCTTGATTAGGCTCTTGGCATTGGTGAGAGGGACAACTTTCTTTGATGTCTGTTGGATGGAAGCTCCCTGCTTAGCAAGATAGTCTGCTAACTCATTACCAGCTGCACCGCAGTGTCCCGGTCTCCACTACAAAACAATTTCCTTAGAAAGCCAGGTAGGAGCTTTTTATACTCAAGGATTTTAAAGGAAGCAGGAGTAGTGCTTGAACTCACAGTAAAAATTGCCGCTTTTGAGTCACAAAAGATAACAGCCTTAACAAAACTGTTCAGGTGACAGTGCAGCTGCGACAGAGCTACACGAATAGCAGCAACTTCACCACCATCAAAGGCAGTTGTGCAATTTCCAGCTGAAAAATAAAAGGAGAAGAGATGGCTGTAAACCAGGACTACCATCGGTGTAGATATGTACCCAATCGGGTTCAGGATATAAGGTGCTTATTGTTTCCAGAGCAAGCATTTTTAAAATCGAAGTGTCTTGCTCTTTTTTGGAAACCGCTTTTGTGAGATCAGTGTGGATCTGGAAGCCTTTATCAATAGTCGGGTCCAAAGGAAGGCATAGGGGCTCGGGATCGAAGTTAATATCAAGCAGTGCCTCTAGTTCCAGACCACCCTGCACAAAACCACGTTGTGTCTTCAAACACCTTCTTGTGTCCAAGGAGTGTTCACTCAAAGGAGAGAAGCAACCAGGTAATCGTGTTAATTTTTCCCATAGTAGCAGGGCATTCCCTTGGAAAATATTCTTTAAAGGTTTGTTTTCTGTTATCACGAGCATTGCTTCAATCGGCGTTGTGTTTGCGGCCCCTGTAATGATCCGTAGTGCCTGATTTTGGGTCTTATCAAGTAAATCAGTAACAGAGTTAGAGGCTGTAATCAGCGCAGCAGTAGGTCATGACAGGCAAAATAAAAAGTTTATAAGTTAAATTTAAGGTATGGTTAGAACAGACCCACCTAGTGCCGACCAGCCGTTTCAAGAGTGCCATTCTATTTGAGACACGATTCACAATGTTTTCAGTTTGGGCTCGCCAGGATAGTTTCCGATCAAAAGAGACACCTAAGTAATTGAACTTGTCAACATTCGGAATGGTGTGGCCTTGATACGACAGATCGATCTATAAGGGTTGGTGTGTCAGTGAGAAAGTAAAGATAAATTAATTATTACTTTGTTCAATTATATTTGTCAAAATAGGGTTTAATAAATCAGTAAAACTAACCTGTTAGATAAACGTACCTACTGGGCAAATGAGTTGTGGAGCAGGTGTACCGAACCCGTTTAATTTATCATGTTTCGTTTCTCTTCACTAAAAAGAAACTATTAAAACTTATGAATTATTTTTTCTCCCCATAGAAAATTAACAATCGTCATTGTTTTGGATTTCCCATGTTGAATTTTATTTCGCTGTACACAAATAATTGTAACACTTAAAAACCTATAATTTGGAAAATGCTCAGAAAGTTACATTGGTATAATAGAACTAAAAATTTTAATATATTGGCTAGAGAAACTGAAACAATTTTATGTATAATAAATAATCTCTGCCTTACATTTTGTTCTAAGTTTTGTCTTACTCAATGTTTATGTAATGTTGTAATAATATAGTTCACCCTATATTATTACAAAATTATACAATGCAGTAATGATACAGGGTTTGTAGGTAACGAAATTTAAAAATAAAGTCAGGTTAAAACGTAATTT